ACCTTGACCCGACGTCTGTGTGGTATGGACTGTGGAATTGGTGGAGGTTGCAGATGTACTGCTCTTGCCGCCCCCGCGATCTGAAGTGTGTGTTTGGGTTAGGCTACTTCCATTCTCAGATGTTTGTGGCCTGTTGACTGAGGATCTGGTAGGTGTTGCATGGATTTCGTTACCGGTTCTTCCTTGATCGAATGTGCTCACTTCAATCGTGGATCGCGAAGCATTTTGAATTTCAGTTGGTTTGCGTGTAGTTAGTTTAGGTGTAGTGGGTTTTTGTGTAGTTGGTTTAGGTGTAGTGGGTTTGTGCGTAATTGGTTTAGGTGTAGTGGGTTTGTGTGTAGTTGGTTTAGGTGTAGTGGGTTTGTACATAGTTGGTTTGTGCGTAGCTGGTTTAGGTGTTGTGGGTTTGTGCGTAGTTGGTTTAGGTGTAGTGAGTTTGTGCGTAGTTGGTTTAGGTGTAGTGGGTTTGTGCGTAGATGGTTTAGGTGTAGTTGGTTTGTGCGTAGTTGGTTTAGGTGTAGTTGGTTTGTGCGTAGTTGGTTTAGGTGTTGTGGGTTTGTGCGTAGTTTGTTTAGGTGTAATGGGTTTGTGTGTAGATGGTTTGGGTGTAGTGGGTTTGTGTGTAGTTGGTTTAGGTGTAGTGGGTTTAGGTGTAGTTGGAATAGGTGTAGTGGGTTTGTGTGTAGTTGGTTTAGGTGTAGTGGGTTTGTGTGTTGTTAGTTTAGGTGTTGTGGGTTTGTGCGTAGAGGGTTTAGGTGTAGTGGGTTTGTGTGTGGTTAGTTTAGGTGAAGTGGGTTTGTGTGTGGTTGGTTTAGGTGTAGTGGGTTTGTACATAGTTGGTTTGTGCGTAGTTGGTTTAGGTGTTGTGGGTTTGTGCGTAGTTGGTTTAGGTGTAGTGGGTTTGTGCGTAGATGGTTTAGGTGTAGTTGGTTTGTGCGTAGTTGGTTTAGGTGTAGTTGGTTTGTGCGTAGTTGGTTTAGGTGTTGTGGGTTTGTGCGTAGTTTGTTTAGGTGTAATGGGTTTGTGTGTAGATGGTTTGGGTGTAGTGGGTTTGTGTGTAGTTGGTTTAGGTGTAGTGGGTTTAGGTGTAGTTGGAATAGGTGTAGTGGGTTTGTGTGTAGTTGGTTTAGGTGTAGTGGGTTTGTGTGTTGTTAGTTTAGGTGTTGTGGGTTTGTGCGTAGAGGGTTTAGGTGTAGTGGGTTTGTGTGTGGTTAGTTTAGGTGAAGTGGGTTTGTGTGTGGTTAGTTTAGGTGAAGTGGGTTTGTGTGTAGTTGGTTTAGGTGTTATGGGTTTGTGTGTAGTTGGTTTAGGTGTTGTGGGTTTGGGTTTCGTTGTTGCCGTTGACGACGTTGAGCCTGAAACATTTCAACTTCTATATATTGGAACTTACTGATTAAGTCATTTAGAGATATTTGTTTATTTAAAGTCTTACATTGCTGAAACAACACTTTGACAAGTGTTCTGTCACTTTGTCTGAACAAGGAAATACTAAAGTTCATAAATAGTTAGTTAATCACGGGAAGGTTGATTATCCACGGATTTCTGATAAAAACAGAGTATTGGAAACTCAAGTCACTAAGCGCTTGGTTAAACACGGGAAGGTTGGTTATCAACGTATTGCTAGAAAAACTGAGTATTAGAAACATTAGTCACTAAGAGTTTAGAAATCACGGGAAAGTTGGTTATCCACGGATTACTAACAAAACTCAGTATTACAAACCCTAGTAACTACGTTTAGTTCAGTACAACCAGACTAAGTCAGAATCTAGATAGACAAAGCCCCGAACCCACGTACTGACAAAGCCTGAGTTTCGAACGTGACCTCTCCAGTAGCGAGACAATCGTGAAAGATTTAACGAAGTCTTGAGGGTGAAGATACGAGATCTAGAAAGTCTATATACAGCGCACGCGGACGTCGGAGGAGACATCCTGGACCGCCGGGGAATACAACTGACGGAGGCGACATCCTGGACCGCAGGGGAATACAACTGACGGAGGCGACAAGGTACTATTTTTTTAAACACATGGAAGACACGGATAGCTAAATAACTACTTTATCTACACTGGGGATGTAAGTATCAAAATAAAGCGCTGAACATAAGCAATCCGACTGTATCATTAGATATACACAACAAGCTATGTACAATTTTGACGAGGCAAAAATGACCATAAATACAAGAGAAATATCTGAATGTAGATAATTTATAAATTCCCCTAATGTTTGCAAATCATAAATACGAAAACATTTCAATACAAGAATAAGGTGGTGAACATATGAGAGACACCATGCATCCACTCGTTACATGGTTTGAGAGTGTCATTAGATAACAAGTGAGAAAAAGAGTTGAGCCACTAATTCCCTGACACCAAAATGATCTGACTCCGTCAGAGAGCGACCGCCGGAGATTACCGAGCGGTGACGGAAATAAAGCCGGAGAACATAACGGCACTGGACCGTGACATGGGTAAAATTGATCATACCCATTTGTGTAAATTAATAGCCTCTGCTTGAATCAGCTTTATTTTGGGAAATACCCTCATGTCTACTTTGTCTTGTGAGATAATGGATAATTATTGTTGAAATGACCCTTAAATATATATTGTCAAAGAAAGAACCATTTGTTTATCCACCGAAACAGATTCAAAAGCTGTGTAACCTATATGAATGGACCATTAAAATCAGTGATGACATCAGGTGTTCGCAAAAAGGGTAAGCATATCCTGCCCTACCGATAGCACCCGCCATTCACACAATTTGCATCAGAAAAATCAGATTTATTGTCTTACGCCGCACCGCACTACTTTTGCCATGCGACAGCGACCTTTAAACAAACCAGACAATCAAGTGGCACGCCAGTTGAAACTAATAAAACTAATAAAAACGATATGTTAATTTATAATTACGCCTGCTATGTACAAGTGCTGAGATTCTGCTGCTTATAGGTAGAGAAAAACGTTTTAGAAACATTTTGCTTTTGCAACACTGTGGGGGTCAGTTGTAATGTCTAGACATTTGCTGTTTACCACAGATTGCGTTATACATAAAACTCGAGCATATACATGTAAAATTAAGAGTCTACCGTTTCTTAATATTGAGGTGTGGCCGAGGGGAGGGGGGCGGCATCAGCTAGGAATGTGACAAGAATAATCCCTCCCCGATAATGCTGGCATCAAATAACTTTTCTTTAACCTTTGGCTTGACTCTATTCCTCTCTTTTGCTGGACTACAAAACTCCATAAATATTCGTACAAAGAGAGATACATATATATTGCTTGTTCCAGTAACGGCACCACCAAATCATTGCCTCAAAGATTAACCGTATTCATTAATGGAATCAAGGAAGAACTTTCTTTTATATTCACAGAAAGTATTTGATACAAGTGGAACTAACACCGAATAGATATCGTTCCATAATGAACAATTAGCCAATTCTCTTCTACTCATTTACACAAGTGAGCTAGAAATAAAGAGACAAATGAAACCGCCCTTTATGTTTCATATTAAGATCTATACATAATTACTAAGAGGGACAAAGGAACTTTGGTGCCTACATTTCACAATCTGATACAATCGAACAAGCTCTTTCTACGAAGATTTCAAAGAGCGTCACGCGGCTCTACGTTTTGTAGTTGACATGTGTAAGTCATTTCCAAATTTGACGCATCAGTGACAATAATGATGCCCGATGCAAATCCTTATGTTTTACTTGTACCATATGGTACAGTGCATATGTCTGATGAACAACTGACTAACCTTTGCATGTGTTTGTGACCGGTGCCACCGGAGGGGCAGGATACACTCACCTTTTCGCGAACACCAGCTATCATCACTATTTCATAGTGATAGATAAACACATGCTCATGATATCGTCGGAATTGTAGGATGCTCTTAGTAGAAATTTAATATGGCTCTGGAAACTTAAGATTCTTGTTTCATTTATTTGCTCAACAAAGTAAAAGGATTGTTCACTGGACATGTTGGATGTTCTAAAAGTTAGTATGTTGTGGGTCCAAAACATATTGTCTCGCTGAAGAGATGACTAAAGCAATTTCTGTCTCAAACAAAAACCAGATATTCTGTTCTAATGTGATATTCATATATTTGACATAACAAAGTGTAACGTGTGTTAAATAGTTGGTCAAAACAAGTTTTCTATGACCATTTGCTCTGGGGAATGTGAGTTTGTGACATAAACTGTCAATGCAAGAGAATAATCAGTATAGACTTGTAAATGTGCTGTCATGAAGGAAACTCGCAACTTCTACACTTCTACACGCTGACGAGTAATTCTCGACCAATTAACATGTTGTACATGAGAAACCCATGTCGTTCAGCTTGGTGTTCTGAGTGCACCTCGCACAGTGCAACATTACGGTAACAGTACACTACGGTTATAACGAACACGCTTTATAACGAACTGTTTTTTAGGTCCCTGCGTTTTGCTGTATATATGCTGTATATATGCTTATAACGAATTACGGTTATATCGAACGAGAATTTGGGGTCACTTTGAGAACGCTTTAACCGTAGTTTACTGTATATCTTCATTAAAGTTTCCTTCTTCCTTATATAGGTATAGGTATAGGTAAGGCCGGAGTCAAATTTAAAACTGCATGTCGGTCTTTTTCTTGCGCAGTGATGCGCGGTATTTATTTTAAGATATACTTAATAAGTATATTGATATTTGATTAAAAAACGCAATAATGACAAATACAAGCGACCACATGCATTCAATAATCATAGTCGATTTCACGATTCTGACTATATCATAAACATGTGTTAACCAGGTTTTCGCGATAAGAAGAGCGTATCCTGCCCAACCGATGGCACCGGTCACAAAAACATGCAAAGACAAGTTTGCCACCTGTAAAAAGACACGGGAACATATACTACATGTCAAATTAAGGAGTTGCATCTGACGTTGTTCACGTCACTGATGCGTCAATTGCAGAATGACATTAAAGGGCCTCACAAGAGAGAGAGATATAAATGTACTCACAACTTCCGTTCGTGATGTTGATATCATCTAACGCAAGTATGACATCGCTGGATACAATCTTGGCGTGAAATGATATCTGAAGAGGGGATAAAACCGTCATTTGAGAAACCCGTAAATATCTAACACAAAACTTATAGCTAACTTGAAAAACGCACATCGCAATAGAGAATTGTTTAAAAAGTAGCAATAAAACATGATAATTTTGAAACGTGGCATTGGATAGCAGTTGTTCGCGATAGTGCCTCTTACCTTTTCATTGCGTTTAACATGGAATGTCATGTTAATTCCTGTCCAAGCGTTTTGGAATGTTGTTGGTACATGCATCACCGTGGCATTATTTAGGTGTATGGATAGGGAATTCTGACTAGTCCCATTCTGCCAGTACATTATCGACACACACACGGTCTGGTTTGTGCAGAATTGTGGCGAAGTCAGTGTGACCATTTGGTCCTGTTGATGTCCAGCCACGCGTAGAAAATAACCTGTTAAATAGCCATACAACATTGTAATAAGCATGATGCATCTTTTTTACTTCATATGGTGTTTATTGCTGTAAATATATATAACAGCTATAATATATATATAGCTGCACGATAAATTGCAAAGAACAATGAGGAACGAAGCCTGGTTTATTTCACTATAAAATATTGTTCTATCATGACGTCATGTCTGGAGATTCGAGATTTGTGATGACGTCGTATATTGGACGACGTTATTTTCTAGAGGGAAGTTTTCCGTGAGTTGTTCCCCATAGATGTAGCTCGGCAACGCAGATTAACGCAATGACCGCACGGTCTAATCCAAAAGTGGGAGAGATATGACAATAAGTATTGGGAGAATAGGTGCAGATTATCGATGTGAAAATTGTGAGAATACCAAACTTAATCCCCCTGTAATATTGAGTTGTCCGATATTGCCGAGGTCGGATTGTATTCGGGGAGCCTCATTATTTAAATATGTGTAAATAGTTTTAAAGCGTGTACAATTTATTGACATCCTCAAAAGGGCTGTACAAAATATTGATATCTCATATAAGAAATAAACGACTCGTGATCTTAGTTTCTCGTACAATAAAACATTGCAGGATGAACAAACCACTCGCTGCTGCGCCCCTCATGGTTTATTCTCCCAGCAGAGTTTTGTTGTATGATAATGAACTCCCACTCGTCGTTTATTTCTTAAATATATGTAGTTGTCTGCATCAATTGCGCTGTTCTGATAGGCTGTATTTGTAAGACCCGACTGGTACAGGTATAAACAATCTTCACTGAACACGTCAGTGGTGTAATCGTGTCCTTGAAATGATAGGGTATGGCTTTGATATTTACACAAAGATATCTATGACATATCTGACTGTTTCGAGGAAAATTACGCACCTGTGTTTGAAGCATCTTTCAGTCTGCCGTTATGTGGAAGTTTCAAAGAGTTGATACGCTTCCATTCATGAGTTTGACCAGGGGTAAACCCACAAAATGGTTTCACAATAATGTTGTCAAAGTCGCAGTGGACCCCTGTGATGCATGGAGTACTGGTAGGTGCAGCTGTATATAGAGTAAGTTCGACAGTACAATCCACCCCAGTTATGTCAAACATGAAGGGCAACAAATATAAGTAAGTATTCAACTTATTCGTTCGAAAATTCGACACGCCTCATGAATAGTTTATCAATCATCCACATAATTCGTGTTCTAATGTTAATAAAATGCTACAATTTACTGCAGTTTATTACAATTTACCACAGTTTTTTACAATTTACCACAGTTTATTACAATTTACCGCGATATTACAATTTACCACAGTTTATTACAATTTATAGCGTTATTACAATTTTCGTCGTAAATGCTGATGGAATAATAACCACAAAAACATATATGTCAATCAAACGTTGTTATGTCTATTTTTATTTGTTATGAAAGACTCCATGAGTACGGGGTATTAGTTTTCATCATTGACTTTCATAAGGTGTCTGCACACGAAGTAGACCTATTGGATTTTAACTATGCTCAGTAAGTAAACCTTTCATGTTCTTAAAGTTTGCATGTGTTTGTTTAGGATGAGACCGTTCTCAGGATTAGAACGCGGTGTCAAAGTGTAAAGTATGAGTGGTTGCTTAGAAAATAATGATATTTGTTATCCATTACTGAATTAACAACATCTCCAAAACATTTTCATCCAAATAGTCATCCAATGAACCAGTATATTTCAAATTAGCAAAAACTTCTCAAATATGTATTTATTTCCTTAGACATTTAAAGCATTCTGCTCTTTCTTTCACTCTATTATCTATTTACAGTTCATGCGAAGGATGAAGGTCCTATTATCTCTCATATGCCAACATTGAGTCCGCATTTTGCCTTCCGCTCAGACAAGCGTGAAGAAAAATACCGTCGTCCTTGTCTACATGACCAGACAGAGGTCAGTATTTAGTTCTGTGTAAATTGTACATTAGAATCATCACTTGATTGTCTGGTTCGTTATATGCCCTCGTCGCGTTTCGGGAGTACTAGTGTGCTCAGTCTGAAAACTGTCGCACACAGTTTTTATGCAAGTTTACGAATGGCGGGTGCTGTTGTTGTCGCAGGACATGCTCATCTTTTTCGCGGGCCTGGTGCCATCATTGATGTTCAGTGGTCCTTCGTGTGGTTTCATCGCTATTTTACCTATTGCGCCAAATGAGGTAATGTTTTGTATGTGTATAATTCTTAAATCTTCTGAGGCAGACCTCATCGTTCTAAGGTGTACTTCGTGTGGAGAAAAGTTTTATAATCTATTAATCATATTAATCGGTTAAGACTTGATAAGCTTTCAAATTTTATGGCAGGTTAGTCAGCACAACTCCATGGTGTCAAAGTAAGAATATTCATTCGAGAAGAGTCACATTTTCCATAGGCAACGACTAAGCAGTGAAACGCCCGGAACAGGCCATTTACTTCAGTATAACCAAGCATTAACTTAAGGCAAGGGTTCGTATTTGTAAATCCAGACAAATACCCTCTTTATACGCCACAATCTTTATCGTGTTTATTTAAAGTTACAATACAAGTGAGTGAGTATGGTTTAAGGCCGCTTTTAGCAATATTTCAGCAATATCACGGCGGGGGACACCAGAAATGGGCTTCACACATTGTACCCGGGTCTTCGGCATGACGAGCGAACGCTGTAACCACTAGGCTACCCAACCGCCCCAGTTACAATACTACGTCACCTTGATGCTGTTAATGCAGTTTGTGACTGAACATGGACGTACATGTGTACATGTATATTTTGTGTATGTCGGTCTTATTTGTATTCATTTCCTTGTCTATTGATTCGTCAGATCCAGATGAAGCATATGAGCTGATGCAGTGTCTGACAGTGCAAACTTTGTAAGTGTCGACATTGGACTATGATGATATTACGTTGCTAGTATGTAGACATTGTTTATGATGAGACGTAGACCATTTATGTAATATAGTATATTACAAGTAAAATAGTAACACTGTTCCCCCGTGGGGATTCTGGTTAGAGTGGGTCACCAAGAATGTAGGCTGCTCGTACGACTAAATAAATCGGGTGGTCAGGCTCAGTGACTGGGTTGATTTGGTACCCCGACGACATGGATCGTTGCTCATAGTATCAACCACAGGATTGTCGGGTCCAAAATCGGTTATCTAAAGACTTCCGTAATATAAGTGGAAGATTGATGAGAGCGGCGTTGAACAATACCCCCCCCCCCCCCCCCCCCCATCCATTAGTGAGTTGAGTTTAACGCCGTTTTTGACAACATTTCGATCATGTCAGATAAATATGTGTGTCAGTGGACCCTAAAAACCATATCCAGGCAGGTATAAACAGAATTATATTTTTCTCGTCTCGAGCAAACGTCTAAATACATCATCATCATCATCATCATCATAATAATGATAATTACCTGTGGATGACTGGAACAGGATGGCCAGTATTACAGTGCTATATATCATGGCTGGGCGGAAGGAGAACATCGCGTCATACATCGCATAAAGAGTGTAGACTGACGTTACTTTGTGCGCGTTGTCTGCTCAACATGCACCTTTATCTTCCGCTGATAATACATAAGTACTTTGTTTAATGGACAATAATCTGCGCAGTTGACGAATGAGGAAGCTATCTCGTATCTCGCTATCTTGAACCTTGTATTGAATTGAATATGTCGTCCGCATGACTGAGGCATATTGAAAATAAGTTTTCCGTTGCAGGTCGACATCCACGCTTGCCATTACATGGAAATCAGTTGAGGTTAAGGCAATACGTATTATGTCATGTCCTTGTACAGAGTATAGTCTGTATGTTTTAAATAACATTATTTTGTGTTGTTTCGACCTCGGCGGTTCACAACGACATCAACATAAACAACATCATACATGTTTACAGTTCATGAAGGATCCTGGGTTCCCGAACTGCCCCTTATGGAACAGATTGGGTCCCGAGTACCCCGGGCTGTCGTGAGAGATGACTGACGAGGATCAGGTGGATAATATGCTGAGCACAATGCTAAAAGCAACATTCAGTCATATATGTTATCGTAGAAAGAACAATGTCAGCTAGATGACTGACGAGAATCAGGTGGTTAATATACTGAGAACAATGCTAAAAGCAACATTCAGTCATATATGTTATCGTAGAAAGAACAATGTCAGCTAGATGACTGACGAGGATCAGGTGGTTAATATGATGAGCACAATGCTAAAAGCAACAACCAGTCATATATGTTATCGTAGAAAGAGCAATGTCAGCTTGACCTTGAGATGTGTCTGTGCATGCAGCTGCAAGTAGCTAATCAGAGGGTTCACTTCTGAGTAATACACATCCGCAATCTCACACACCCAATGTATCGACGTACGTAGTTAGGGAAGGAATAATGACGTGGTTATCATCTGTCAGGGTGGAAGGGTGTGTTGCAAACGTAGAGATTAAAGCACGAGTACCCGCAATCGTTGCAATGGTTCAGAGAAGGCGGGATGATAAAGCTGGGGCCTCGCTGGACAAGTGTATTGAATGAACACACAATGTCATTATCCCAAACATAACATTACAAGTGTATTTAAGTCAGATTATAATGAAAAATAAAGTGAAAACAATTATGATTCAGAACAATTTTAAATCTGAGCCCTTGAAGTTTTTTATTTACCCTGTGTGTGTTCAGATAGTCCACAGCCACACTCAATCTACTTGCACTGATAAAGTTGTCGTGAGCGATCCACAATGCACAAGTTTCTGAAAAGCTGCCAAAGATTCAGAATTAATAAATATGTAAACGGCAGTCAATGATGAATATTATTACAAACCTATGAGTTGAAAAAGTACCAGTTTTCTCAAGTTTCCTTGTAACCACGGAATATAATCAGGAGAATGACACATGGTGGAACTACAAACAAGTGAACGTCTATTCACATAGTGTCACAAACGTTCGATCAAACTATTCCGGGGCGGTTGGGTAACTGACTCATGATTGGTAAAGCGTTCGCTCGTCACGCCGATGACCCGGGTTCGATTCCCGACATAGGTACAATGTGTGAAGCCCATTTCTGGTGTCCCCCGCTGTGATATTGCTGGAATATTGCTAAAAGCGGCGTACAATCAAAACTCACTCACTCATTTAAACTATTCCGTCCGGTAAAAGTGACCAGCCTCATTGCGAGGGTTTCCCGATTCACTAAGAAAGTAACTTTATGAGTATTCGTAAGAATGTACGGGGGTGTATTTAGTCAAAAACAGTATGACACATTACATGTTTTTTGGTCTTTAAAATTCAAGATCATCTCGCATGTTGAACTTACTGACTTCATAGACTAATAATAAACCCGTTCCATATCCAACAGAAATATCTGCATAAAGCGGAGTCGATTGTACGATTCCGACTATATCACGAGCATGTGTTTATGAATCACTATCAAACAGAAATGATACCAGGTGTTCGCGAAAAGGTGAGCGTGTCCTGCCCCGCCGGTGGCACCCGTCACAAACACATGCAAAGACAAGTCAATTGTTCACCTGAAAAAAAACACTGTCAAAATAGGGAATTGCATCGGACATCATTGATGAGTCAAATTTGGAAATGTCCTCCACATGTCTACCATAAAACAACGTTTGTTTCTTATCCTTCACTGCAAATATATGATGTGTTGGATCAACAATAGTTATCAATGTCTATGAAATAGCAACTGAAGATACTGATAGTAGCTACAGGAAACTATGTCATACTCGGAAGCAATAAGTCATTGGCAGAGCTAATCTTTCGAAACTACACGCCTGATTCTAAAAAATAGTTTTCATTCCCAAAGTAAAACACTTCAGACAGACCCACCACAAATATCCACCACAAAGTTCATTGGAGATCCAGACACGTACAGGACTGTGTTATGCACGCCTGTTGAGTGGCGACCGGGTAAAATGTGTGGACATTGAATACATTTTCGTGATCCTTGGTAATCGTCGCTGTCGATGAACAAACCCGCAAACAGATAGACCATAGTGTGATATTATGAGCATAGAACCAGTCGGTATATCCGTTTCTCTCCACGTTAGACCTGGGCTTACTTGCACATAGCGAACTTGGCTCTACGATGATCGTAACTCGCACACTGTAACTGACTTAAGATCGCCGTAGCACTGAGATCGCTTTGTTGAACAGGGCCCTGTGGTCCTGTGGTCCTGTGCTCAGTGCACAGGTCACAAATCAGGTGAAGTTAAGGAACGGAGAGTCCTTGGATGAGTGACCGCGTATCGGCAGCTTAATTGGCTCTTGAGAGTTTCTAGGGCTTCGGTCCTGCCCCGCACTGAAGCTCTTGTAACACATGTGGCGTCTCTTTGGGCAAGTGTCTTCGTTCGAAATGTGCCTCTGTTCACCCAGCAGTGAATGGGTACCCGGCAGGATGATATGGCAATGTGGTTGTTAACCTTCCAGCGCTTGGGTTGCATACTCCTCAGGGAGTTGAGAATGATTCTTTAGTGAACACTGATCCAGTGACCGGGGTTATAATAGCGCTTTGAGTATGCCCCTGCAGAGTCGAGGGGAATAATGCGCTATATAAATAGCCTATTATTATTATTATTATTATTATTGGGCGACTTAAATGGATCGGGTAGTCAGGTTTGCTGATTTGGTGATCGCGTGCCTACATGCCCCGACGGGGTGGTTCTGTGCTCAATTATCAATCACTGGTATGTCTGGTCAGGACATGATGCGTCATATATCTGAAATATTGAGTGCGGCGTAAAACAACAGAACACAACAGGGAACAAACAACATATTACGAATGACGGACTTCTATTCACAAAACTCTGCCAAGTGTTAACACTCCCCAAAACGTTTATAAGTGTATGAGCGAGTTAAAACCTCAGGCCCCACACCTACGTTAGCGGTAAAACTACACATTATACAATGAGTGAGTGACATCGATTTAACGCAACTTCAAACATTGTTAGAGAAATACCATTTCTCTCTGTTGAAGAAATCTCAACAGATTAAGATATCGGACGTTTTGCAATTTGGCGTAATTTGGCTGACAAACCAAGAATCTTTGTCTGGAATTCGAACCCCCGACCATAGCATTCCGCCGCGTCTAGGGGACGCAACTCTGCACAGCAAAGTGCAGATCCTCCGACAACTGGGCCACACGTGCCCCCGATCACACAAGGACAATATATCAGTATCAGCCTCTTTACTTTGTACTTGTAGAGATCTGCACAACACGATGCCTTACATCTGCTTATAAACTTCCAGTGACGTCATCCTATTGTTCTCTGGTCGGGTTAAATCTCGTAAACAGGGACGCTGTAATGTCCCTGGGATTTTATATAATATCCCTGGGATTTTATAGGATATTCAAGTCATATTTGCTATATAATGTGTTATAATATCCGATGGATTTTATACAACTTCGATTCAGATTGTAACATGTAATGAAATGTAAAATCAAATGACAAATATTTTCTTTATATTCCCGGGGATCGAACACGCAACCTTCGTATCTGTAGCCCAGTGAGTGATAAAAATGATGTTTTTAGGATGTCCTTTTCAAGATCCGTATGCCAGCAACAGATATTTTACGCCCATTTCCTAATGTTCATGGAAAGTATGTTCGAAACATAAAAATGTTGATAAATGTTGTTTTAAGTTTCTTTTTTCGGTTCATAAGTTAGATAAATTGCTCCCCCTCGGGTTATTAGTGATATTTAAAACCCTTTCCCTGGGAAAATCCCTCGGGATGCGGGTTTTAAATATCATAACAACCCTCGGACGTGTTTTATCCTATACATATATCAAAGTAGATGAATTTGCTTTGATTGCGCGAATCACATCCCACATGCTTATTCAGCGACATGTATCCGTTCGTATAATATCCAATCAAGAGTCTTTATCCTCGACTGAGAAAGACATGATGTAGAACCAGACCATCTTCAGGTGTGGTTGAAAACATGACGTGTATGGCCCTACCCTCAGTGCATGAGGTACAGTAATAAATCAACTCACACGAAGTTATAACTTTATTCAATACCACCAATATACATTATTGATTCATATTCATGCAAATCTGTAACGCACACAAACAATTGATGAAGACATGTGTCTAACATTAATCATGAAGTATCAACCCGTGTACATTCTCTGCCAGCAGAGAATTCACTTGGAATAAATGAAATAACTACAGAAAGAAGTACAGTAAAGTACGGTTATAACGAACTCAAAGGGACTACTAATTTTAGTTCGTTATAACCGTAGTTCGTTATATGCATATACACAGCATAACTACAGCAAGTAGTCGGGACCAAAAAGTAAGTTTGTTATATCCGTCAGTTCGTTATAAGCGTGTTCGTTATAACCGTAGTTTACTGTATTACATACATGTAAGGCACTTACGCCAAGACAAACGACAAAGGGAAAATAGGTGAGCACATGTTAAGAATAATAACATACATACACTCCAACAAGTACTTGTGATACTCGTAGATACACACCCACCGTTACACGTCCGATGGAAGCACTATTATGGTAAAAAAAACATCTATTAATTTTTCTATAGATAACCATATATAATCAAACATCTGTATTATTATCATTCCTTTACACAGCTAGTTACATAATCTTCTTCAAGACACCTGCTTCAACCACTTGTAGTAGTGGTAGTTGGTGCGGGTGAAGTAGTAGTTGTTTATACTGTTGAGAATAAACAACACGTTCACGATAATATACAGGTTCTAAATGCTAGTAGGTTGGACAGTGATGCGGATTATAGCGAGTACAGTGTAATATTTAAGAAGTGTCTGACTATAAACATTACTCGCGAAGTCAGCGTGACATTGGTCTTGTGACATATTGATATGATGCATAGTACACTAGGTGCTAGGTTGGGATGATACTAATTCTAATGATGCGAAATGAAAACCACATCCATGTGGGTAATTTTTACTTCTTGGACATGAGTGAGTGAGTGAGTGAGTGAGCGAGTGAGCGAGTGAGTGAACGAATGAACGAGCGAGTGATTGATTGAGTGAGTGAGTGAGTGAGTGAGTGTCACGGCAGGGTACACATGAAATGGGCTTTACACATTGTACCATTGTGGGTAATCCAAACCAGGTCTTAGGCGCAGCGAGCGAACCATTTAACCACAAAGCTAACCCATCCCCTCCCCGAATATGAAAACCATAACAGTCATATGTGTACATTCACATGTAAATAGTATGAAAATACTTATCCCTAACAAACCCTGACACCTATACACATAACATTTGCCCTATATAATGTTCGACCGTGCCTCTCTTGATCAAAGCCGAACATCATCAAAGTCATCGTCATTAATGTGTTCGTGCATTGATGAGACTGCCATGCTGTATGCTTCGTTGGGCTGCTCTATGTATTTCTCCGCGTAGTCTTCACGGCCAACGCCCACCCAGCGCCCAGCCACATCGTCGTCAGTGATGTAGGTCGACTTCTTCGGAATACGTTTTTTGTATAAAAAGATAGCGACTAAGATGACCAAAATGGCGACGAGAGGGACGGTGACACCGATGATGATATCTCTGTGCTTTCCAGCCAAGAGGTCGGCGTTCACATTGTGTTCAGTCGTTGAATGCGTAAATGGACTGTTGGTGGATTGACTGGATGTAGGAGTTGTTGGTCTTGGTGTTGTTTGTTTCTGTGTAGTTGTTTTTTGTGTAGTTGTTGTTGGTGTAGTGTTTTTGTGTGTGGTTGGTTTTGCTGTGGTTTGGTTAGATTTAGATGGTTTAGGTGTGCTTGGTTTCTGCGCTGTTATTTTATGTGAAATTGTTTTCGTTATAGTTGGTGTAAGTATAGTTGTTTTTTGTGTTGCTCGTTTCGCTGTACTTTGTGTAGATGTAGTTGATGTGGTTGTAGTTGTTGGTGTAGATGTAGTTGGTGTAAAGGACGTTGGTATAGATGTAGTTGTAGTTGGCGAACTTGTAGCTGGTATAGATGAAGTTGATGTAGATGTGTTTGGCGTAATTGTAAATGATGTAGGTGCAGTTAGTGTTGATTTAGCTTCACTTGGCGTAGCTGTAGTTGGCGTAGATGTAGTTGGTGTGGATGTAGTTGGTGTAGGTGTAGTTGGTGTGGATGTAGTTGGTGTAGTTGTAGTTGGTGTAGATGTAGATGTAGTTGGTGTAGCTGTGGCTTTAGTAGCTGTAGTTTGGGTAGATGAAGTTGGTGTAGCTGAAGTAGATGTAGTTGGTGTAGTTGTAGTTGGTGTAGTTGTAGTTGGTGTAGATGTAGTTGGTATAGCTGTAGCTTTAGTAGCTGTAGTTTGGGTAGATGAAGTTTGTGTAGGTGAAGTAGATGTAGTTGGTGTAGTTGTAGTTGGTGTAGTTGTAGTTGGTGTAGGTGTAGTTGGAGTAGAGGTAGTTAGAGTAGATATAGTTGGTGTAGGTGTAGTTGGTGCAGGTGTAGTTGTTGTAGTTGGTGTAGTTGTAGTAGTTGTAGTTGGTGTCGTTGTAGTTGGTGTGGATTTAGTTGGTGAAGATGTAGTTGTAGTTGGTGTGGATGTAGTTGGCGTGGCTGTAGTTGGTGTAGATGTAGTTGGTGTAGTTGTAGTTGGTGTGTATGTAGTTGGTGTAGATGTAGTTGTTGTAGTTGTAGTTGGCGTGGATGCGGTTGGTGTAGTTGTCGTTGGTGCAGATGTAGTTGGTGTAGTTGTAGTTGGTGTAGTTGTAGATGTTGTGGATGTAGTTGGTGTAGTTGGTGTAGTTGGTGTTGGTGTAGTTGTCGTTGGTGCAGATGTAGTTGGCGTGGATATAGTTGGTTTAGCTGTAATTGATGTAGATGTAACTGTAGGTGTTGTTGTAGTAGTTGTAGTTGGTGTAGCTGTAGTTAGTGTGTATGTAGTTGGTGTAGTTATAGTTTGTGTATTTGTAGTAGATGTAGTTGGTGCAGATGTAGTTTGAGTAGAGGTAGTTGGTGCAGTTGTAGTAGGTTTAGTTGGTGTAGTTGTAGTTGGTGTAGTTGTAGTAGGTGAAGTTGGAGTAGGTCGAGTTGGCATGGATGTAGTTGGTGAAGATGTAGTTGGTGTAGTTGTAGTTGGGGTAGATGTAGTTGTAGTTGCTGTGCTTGTAGATGGTGTAGATGTAGTTGATTTATGTGTAGTTTGTTTGTGAGTAGTTGGTTCAGGTGTAGTTACTTTGTAAGTAGTTGGTTTAGTTGTAGTTGTTTTGCGAGTGGTTGGTTTAGTTGTAGTTTGTTTGGGTGTAGTTGGTTTAGGTGTAGTTGTTTTGAGAGTGGTTGGTTTAGTTGTAGTTTGTTTGGGTGTAGTTGGTTTAAGTGTAGTTGTTTTGATAGTGGTTGGTTTAGTTGTAGTTTGTTTGGGTGTAGTTGGTTTAGGTGTAGTTGTTTTGAGAGTGGTTGGTTTAGTTGTAGTTTGTTTGGGTGTAGTTGGTTTAGGTGTAGTTGTTTTGAGAGTGGTTGGTTTAGTTGTAGTTTGTTTGGGTGTAGTTGGTTGAGGTGTAGTTGTTTTGAGAGTGGTTGGTTTAGTTGTAGTTTGTTTGGGTGTAGTTGGTTTAGGTGTAGTTGTTTTGTGAGTGGTTGGTTTAGTTGTAGTTTGTTTGGGTGTAGTTGGTTTAGGTGAAGTTGTTTTGAGAGTGGTTGGTTTAGTTGTAGTTTGTTTGGGTGTAGTTGGTTTAGGTGTAGTTGTTTTGAGAGTGGTTGGTTTAGTTGTAGTTTGTTTGGGTGTAGTTGGTTTAGGTGTAGTTGTTTTGAGAGTGGTTGGTTTAGTTGTAGTTTGTTTGGGTGTAGTTGGTTTAGGTGTAGTTGTTTTGAGAGTGGTTGGTTTAGTTGTAGATTGTTTGGGTGTAGTTGGTTTAGGTGTAGTTGTTTTGAGAGTGGTTGGTTTAGTTGTAGTTTGTTTGTGGGTAGTTGGTTTAGTTGTAGTTTGTTTGTGAGTGGTTGGTTTGGGTGTCGTTGTTTTGTGAGTAGTTGGTTTAGTTGTAGTTTGTTTGTGGGTAGTTGGTTTAGGTGTAGTTGTTTTGTGAGTGGTTGGTTTAGTTGTAGTTTGTTTGGATGTAGTTGGTTTAGGTGTTGTCATTTCGTGGTCAGTTGGTTTGGGTGAAGTTTGTTTGTGAGTGGTTGGTTTAGATTTAGTTGTTTTGTGAATTGTAGGTGTAGGTGTTGGTTGTTTGTTAGTAGTTGGCTTAGGTGTAGTTAGTTTGTGTGTAGTTAGTTTAGTCGTAGTTGTCTTGTGAGTGGTTGGTTTAGGTGTAGTTGTTTTGTATGTAGTTGTTTTGTGTGTAGTTGGTTTATGAGTAGTTGTTTTGTGTGTAGTTGGTTTAGGTGTAGTTGGTTTGTGAGTAGTTGTTTTGTGCGTAGTTGACTTAGGTGTAGTTGTCTTGTGAGTAGTTAGTTTAGGTGTAGTTGTTTTGTGAATGGTTAGTTTGGGTGTAGTTGTTTTGTGAGTTGTTGTTTTGTGTGTAGTTGTTTTGTGAGTAGTTGGTTTTGGTGTGGTTGTTTTTTGGGTAGTTGGTTTAGGTGTAGCTGCTTTGTGAGTTGATGGTTTGTGTGTGGTTGGTTTGTGAGTGGTTGGTTTGGGTGTCGTTGTTTTGTGAGTTGTTGGTTTGGGTGTCGTTGTTTTGTGAGTTGTTTGTTTGTGTGTAGTTTGTTTGTGAGTAGTTGGTTTAGGTGTAGTTGTTTTGTGCGTAGTTGGTTTGGGTGTAGTTGATTTGTGAATGGTTGGTTTAGGTGTAGTTGTTTTGTGAGTTGTTGGTTTGGGTGTCGTTGTTTTGTGAGTTGTTTGTTTGTGTGTAGTTTGTTTGTGAGTGGTTGGTTTGGGTGTAGTTGTTTTGTGCGTAGTTGGTTTGTGAGTGGTTGGTTTAGGTGTAGTTGGTTTGTGAGTTGTTGGTTTAGGTGTAGTTGTTTTGTGCGTAGTTGGTTTGTGAGTGGTTGGTTTAGGTGTAGTTGGTTTGTGAGTTGTTGGTTTGGGTGTCGTTGTTTTGTGAGTTGTTTGTTTGTGTGTAGTTTTTTTGTGAGTGGTTGGTTTAGGTGTAGTTGTTTTGTGAGTGGTTGGTTTGGGTGTCGTTGTTTTGTGAGTTTTTGGTTTAGGTGTAGTTGTTTTGTGCGTTGTTGGTTTGTGTGTAGTTTGTTTGTGAGTGATTGGTTTGGGTGTCGTTGTTTTGTGAGTGGTTGGTTTAGGTGTAGTTGGTTTGGGTGTAGTTGGTTTAGGTGTAGTTGTTTTGTGAGTAGTTGGTTTAGGTGTAGTTTGTTTGTGCGTAGTTGGTTTAGGTGTAGTTGCTTTGTGAGTTGTTGGTTTGGGTGTCGTTGTTTTGTGAGTTGTTTGTTTGTGTGTAGTTTGTTTGTTAGTAGTTGGTTTTGGTGTAGTTGTTTTGTGAGTGGTTGGTTTAGGTGTAGTTTGTTTGTGCGTAGTTGGTTTAGGTGTAGTTGTTTTGTGCGTAGTTGGTTTGTGTGTAGTTGGTTTGTGCGTGGTTGGTTTAGGTGTAGTTGGTTTAGGTGTAGTTGGTTTAGGTGTAGTTGTTTTGTGAGTAGTTGGTTTAGGTGTAGTTTGTTTGTGAGTGATTGGTTTGGGTGTAGTTGATTTGTGAATGGTTGGTTTAGGTGTAGTTGTTTTGTGAGTTGTTGGTTTGGGTGTCGTTGTTTTGTGAGTTGTTTGTTTGTGTGTAGTTTGTTTGTGAGTGGTTGGTTTGGGTGTAGTTGTTTTGTGCGTAGTTGGTTTGTGAGTGGTTGGTTTAGGTGTAGTTGGTTTGTGAGTTGTTGGTTTAGGTGTAGTTGTTTTGTGCGTAGTTGGTTTGTGAGTGGTTGGTTTAGGTGTAGTTGGTTTGTGAGTTGTTGGTTTGGGTGTCGTTGTTTTGTGAGTTGTTTGTTTGTGTGTAGTTTTTTTGTGAGTGGTTGGTTTAGGTGTAGTTGTTTTGTGAGTGGTTGGTTTGGGTGTCGTTGTTTTGTGAGTTTTTGGTTTAGGTGTAGTTGTTTTGTGCGTTGTTGGTTTATGTGTAGTTTGTTTGTGAGTGATTGGTTTGGGTGTCGTTGTTTTGTGAGTGGTTGGTTTAGGTGTAGTTGGTTTGGGTGTAGTTGGTTTAGGTGTAGTTGTTTTGTGAGTAGTTGGTTTAGGTGTAGTTTGTTTGTGCGTAGTTGGTTTAGGTGTAGTTGCTTTGTGAGTTGTTGGTTTGGGTGTCGTTGTTTTGTGAGTTGTTTGTTTGTGTGTAGTTTGTTTGTTAGTAGTTGGTTTTGGTGTAGTTGTTTTGTGAGTGGTTGGTTTAGGTGTAGTTTGTTTGTGCGTAGTTGGTTTAGGTGTAGTTGTTTTGTGCGTAGTTGGTTTGTGTGTAGTTGGTTTGTGCGTGGTTGGTTTAGGTGTAGTTGGTTTAGGTGTAGTTGGTTTAGGTGTAGTTGTTTTGTGAGTAGCTAGTTTAGGTGTAGTTTGTTTGTGAGTGATTGGTTTTGGTGTAGTTGTTTTGTGAGTGGTTGGTTTTAGTGTAGTTGCTTTGTGAGTTGTTGGTTTGGGTGTCGTTGTTTTGTGAGTTGTTTGTTTGTGTGTAGGTTGTTTGTGAGTAGTTGGTTTATGTGTAGTTGTTTTGTGAGTGGTTGGTTTTGGTGTAGTTGTTTTGTGAGTGGTTGGTTTTAGTGTAGTTGCTTTGTGAGTTGTTGGTTTGGGTGTCGTTGTTTTGTGAGTTGTTTGTTTGTGTGTAGTTTGTTTGGGTGTAGTTGGTTTAGGTGTAGTTGTTTTGTGCGTAGTTGGTTTGTGTGTAGTTGGTTTGTGAGTGGTTGGTTTAGGTGTAGTTGGTTTAGGTGTAGTTGTTTTGTGAGTAGTTGGTTTAGGTGTAGTTTGTTTGTGAGTGATTGGTTTAGGTGTCGTTGTTTTGTGAGTGGTTGGTTTAGGTGTAGTTGGTTTAGGTGTAGTTGTTTTGTGAGTGGTTGGTTTGGGTGTCGTTGTTTTGTGAGTTTTTGGTTTAGGTGTAGTTGTTTTGTGCGTTGTTGGTTTGTGTGTAGTTTGTTTGTGAGTGATTGGTTTGGGTGTCGTTGTTTTGTGAGTGGTTGGTTTAGGTGTAGTTGGTTTGGGTGTAGTTGGTTTAGGTGTATTTGTTTTGTGAGTAGTTGGTTTAGGTGTAGTTTGTTTGTGCGTAGTTGGTTTAGGTGTAGTTGCTTTGTGAGTGGTTGGTTTAGGTGTAGTTGCTTTGTGAGTTGTTGGTTTGGGTGTCGTTGTTTTGTGAGTTGTTTGTTTGTGTGTAGTTTGTTTGTGAGTAGTTGGTTTAGGTGTAGTTGTTTTGTGAGTGGTTGGTTTAGGTGTAGTTTGTTTGTGCGTAGTTGGTTTAGGTGTAGTTGTTTTGTGCGTAGTTGGTTTGTGTGTAGTTGGTTTGTGCGTGGCTGGTTTAGGTGTAGTTGGTTTAGGTGTAGTTGGTTTAGGTGTAGTTGTTTTGTGAGTAGCTAGTTTAGGTGTAGTTTGTTTGTGAGTGATTGGTTTTGGTGTAGTTGTTTTGTGAGTGGTTGGTTTTAGTGTAGTTGCTTTGTGAGTGGTTGGTTTAGGTGTCGTTGTTTTGTGAGTTGTTTGTTTGGGTGTCGTTGTTTTGTGAGTTTTTGGTTTAGGTGTAGTTGTTTTGTGTATAGTTGGTTTGTGAGTGGTTGATTTGGGTGTAGTTGTTTTTTGAGTGGTTGGTTTGGGTGTAGTTGTTTTGTGAGTAGTTGGTTTAGGTGTGGTTGTTTTTTGGGTAGTTGGTTTAGGTGTAGTTGCTTTGTGAGTGGTTGGTTTAGGTGTAGTTGTTTTGTGAGTGGTTGGTTTTAGTGTCGTTGTTTTGTGAGTTTTTGGTTTAGGTGTAGTGGGTTTGTGTATAGTTTGTTTGTGAGTGGTTGGTTTAGGTGTAGTGGGTTTGTGAGTGGTTGGTTTAGGTGTAGTGGGTTTGTGTGTAGTTGGTTTGTGAGTGGTTGGTTTGGGTGTAGTTGTTTTGTGCGTAGTTGGTTTGTGTGTAGTTGGTTTGTGAGTGGTTGGTTTAGGTGTAGAGGGTTTGTGAGTGGTTGGTTTAGGTGTAGTTGTTTTGTGAGTGGTTGGTTTAGGTGTAGTGGGTTTGTGTGTAGTTGGTTTGTGAGTGGTTGGTTTGGGTGTAGTTGTTTTGTGCGTAGATGGTTTGTATGTAGTTGGTTTGTGAGTGGTTGGTTTAGGTGTAGTTGCTTTGTGAGTGGTTGGTTTTGCGGTAGTTTGTTTGTGAGTGTTTGGTTTGGGTGTCGTTGTTTTGTGAGTTGTTGGTTTAGGTGAATTTAGTTTGTAAGTAGTTGGTTTAGGTGTGGTTGTTTTTTGGGTAGTTGGTTTGTGTGTAGTTGCTTTGTTAGTTGTTGGTTTGTGTGTCGTTGTTTTCCGAGTTGTTGGTTTGTGTGTAGTTTGTTTGTTAGTAGTTGGTTTAGGTGTAGTTGTTTTGTGGGTAGTTGGTTTGTGTGTAGTTAGTTTGTGAGAAGTTGGTTTGGGGGTAGTAGGTTTGTGTGTAATTTGTTCAGGGGTAGTAGGTTTGTGTGTAGTTTGTTTAGGGGTTGTAGGTTTGTTTTTCGTTTGTTCAGCTGTAGTTTTTATGTGCTGCGTTATTTTCTGTTTTATTTGGTGAGTCGATGGCTTGTGCGTAGTTGCTTTAGATGTACTTCCTTTTGTTGTTCCTGGGCCTGAAAAAATGCAAAAAAGAAACAGTTGACCTTGGTTACCTCCCATATTTTTATTTGTTTCGGTTTTCCCCGAAAATTTCTTTTTTATCTGATCGAATGGCCTTCCCTGAAGTTAAAACTTTCATGAATTGCTTTTGTCAACTTGTTCAGGTCACGAGGTGAGACAAACACTGATTTGACAAAATATAAAAGTATGTTTTATTTGTTGTCTATTTTCGTACATCGATCACATTGTCTTAGTTTTTGCTTAATTGTTATGATTTTATACTTTCAGATAAATACTTCATTTCAGCACACAATACATTGTTAGATATGTACAGCTATGAACGTGGAACAACTTATGCAAATGCCTTAACCTCAATCTGTGTTTTTTGTATCGGGCATATGCTACAACATCTATTTGTAATGGATCAGCAAATTACTTCAGGACTGAATTAGATCCAAGAGCATGTAGGCCCCGTTCAACAAAAGGTTTGCGGTCATAACTCCCATAATTTCACACCGACAATCGCATCGATAACATCACTTTATTGAACGCGGACCTACTTGAAAAATAACGTTGGTATCATACAATGTGATGACATCAAATTAAGATATATGCATGGGATGTAGGATGTTGTCATAACACTACCACGGTTTGCGGATGTGAACGCGTTATTCCTTCTTATTCTTGGTTATCCTTGAATAGTGATGCCATACAACATGATGACACCTTTAACAAATGAGTTAAATGGAAATGAACTGTAACATTTATACAAATGTATGTATAGTGTTCAAAGTGACTTCATCTCACTTTACCAAATGTTGAAGCATGCATTACCAGGAAGGTTTTTTTATGAATTGATATACTATTACAATGACAATACAATGTCCTCAACATACTCACACTCGGTTACTTTCACGTTCTTTACAGCTACAACGCTTCCGTAATGAGCACGTGTTCCCCTGAAGATAATCTGGAAATGCATAACAATTACAGGTTATTTGGAATATAGTTTCTCATCAATGCATGACATTGAGAAAGACATGACACATTGTAACTTTCTTTGTTTCTCGAACTTACTTTAGAATTGACTTTGACATTAAGAGTTGTATTATAAGCTGTCCATGTTTGGTGAGATGAACATGAGATGGCTTTAGATGTCCCGCCTCCTGTTTGGACCAGTATGTCCAATGTGACTGGCTCTTTCCCCAGCCAGTAATCAAATGAGAGACAGAAAGTTCCAGTGTGGCAGAGTGGAGGACTGTCGAGGTCTGCTGTATCTCCATCTTTGGTCAGGATGTTGGTTGTGGCGAGATGGGCGAAATAACCTGTCAAGCAAAAGGTTGAATTGAACTTACAGTGTACGTTGAGAGGGTTGTATTCAACGATATCATTGCTGAAATGTCGTTCAGCGGAGAATACTTACAGCCGTATATGTAGGACATGATGTGAATGTATGAGGTATTTGTTAGCTAGTTGTAGTCATATTCGTAACAATATTAAACGAGACAGGGTAACAACAAGTACCATCTTTTAACGTCTTTTGGTATGACATGGCCGGGGATCGAACCCCGGACCTTCCGCTCTCCGGGCGGACGCTCTACCACTAGACCCCAGAGGTGGTCTCAAGCAGCCCTAACATCAAATGTCCCAGTCAACACATCATCCCATAGAAAAGGTCTTCAGCAACCCAAGCTTGCGGTGAAGGGCGACGATGCTTGTCGTAAGAGGCGACTTACGGGATATGGTGATAAGGCTTGCTGACTTGGTTGATGCATGTCATTGATCCCAGTTGGGTGGATCGATGGTCATGATGTCAATCACTGGATTGTCTGGTCCAGACTCGTTTATTTACAGACCGTCGTCATATAGCTGGAATAATGCTGACTGCGGCGTTGAACAACAAACAAAACTGTCTGATGCAAAACACGAGTTTTATAGCATAACGTCCCCTGTGGTGAACTACCTATGATATAACATCCTCCTACCATGCTCGGGTGATTGTATTCCACCAAACTGTTTGTCCCTTCTCCACATCAGCAAACCTGCCCCCGACACTGTTGTTGACGTAAATCCGCACATGTCGTGATCAAAGTTGCACGACAATGAGGTAAAACATGATGGAGCAGCATCATTGTCCTCGGCAGACTGAGAATAAGCTGAAAAACAACAAAAAACACTCGATCTCAAAATACAATCTACAAATATCGTGTGTGTATTTCAGTCACCATTGTGAACGTAGGAGACATGTAACGGTATATATCATTTCATTTTATCCCTGCTAATTGGTATTCTGGTATATGTAAACACAACCAAAAGAACCGGTTTTTGTGCATTATGTACTGGATAAAGGGTTTTTAGGACGTTTTTAGATGTTGATGGCGTCTTTGGACTATTTTTCACATTGGTTTCCGATTCTGACAGACAAGACTGAAATATTCCGGCGAACCACCCGATCTCACACCACGCATGGCGTAACTATAGTATGTCCTGTAATCCCCACGGTCAATCACAAACGTTACCGTCGGTAATTATTAATAGCGTAATAATTGTTAAAAAGACAGATATATACAAACACTACTGTTTCTTTAACAAAATACTAGTATTTCTAATTTCCTAACACTTTTGGTCATGTTTATTTGTTTTATACAATTATTTAGTAGCATTTGTAATCATGTGATATAGATACATGTATATAAATTACGTATTTTCTCACTAAAAGCCTACCTGTGGCTGCCTGAAAACAGAACGCTGTAACGTATATTCCAAGTAAAGTATTGAAACCAACACGCAAATACTTCATTGTGGGATCCGCCCAGTGTCCTCGTTATCACTGACACACTAGTCTATTGAAATACTTCCTTCGTGATCGGATCTAGCCGAGAGTACATATATATATCTAAGATACTATCCTACATTTAACCTTTGACACCGTGGTTCCGTGTGGTGCAATCAGTTTGTACCTAACGGACGGCTAGTATCTCAATGACTGTGAAAACATCTAATTTTGACTGGTCAATCAGATAAACTATGTTTTATATATCATTATTTGCACGTATTTGTTAACTGTGAACCACACGTACATGTACAGGGTGTGCCACTTTAGACTCCAGTTTAATGACAAGACCCATATTACTCAAATGTGAATGGATCAATATACAGCGTAGTCAGTAAAATACACCGTTTGTGATTGAATTAAAATAAAACAGTATTTCAGTTATATCACGGCCTGCAACCTTAATCTGGGACATAAACGTTTGGTGAAACACACGAGATCTGGTGGTGCTTACAAACAGTGATTTTATTCAGGACAAATCTGGGATTCGAACCCATGACAACGCCTTGAGGGACGCATGTTGGACAGCGAATTGCGACGTCTTCAAGCGGTGGTCAGATCCAGCCTAGTCACGGCTGACGTCACGTCGTCAACCAGCAATTTACTAGTCATACTCATTACCCATAAGACCATTTCCGGTGTAACCCGCCGTGATAGAGCTGGGGTAGTGCTAAGAACCGCGTAAACCAACTCACTCACTCAGAATCCATGATGACCACCCAATCCCAAATTATACTGGCTTTTACGATAAACTTTTTGTACCACGTGCCCAAGAATCCCATCGGGGGATCTATGTAATGACATCTCTGAAGACAGCTTTAGATGCATTTATGTGTAACCTGTGTACATCGTGTACATCACAAACACAAACGTTATGCGTCTAAAAATTTGTCCCGAATACACTCGCATGTTATCGAACCGAACTGAATTCAAATATGTCAGATTTCATTAAAAAGAAGTGTAAACATTTATTTATATGACTCAATAACAAACCTGACAGTGGGCAGATGGAGGTGGGTGAACTGAACAATGTTATCAGCAACGATTAGATTCCCGATGTATATCTGCTATACCACAAGGCATTGATCGAGACCGAGTAAGTTGTTACTTTACCTTCATCGCATAAAGGGGCACGGGTGGCCCTGTCGTCTAAGGCGCCGCGATTCGCTGTGCAGAGTTGCGTCCCAGAAACCTATGATTGTGGGTTCGAATCCCGGTTCGCCCCAATTATGTTTCCAGGTTTGTCAGCACCATACCCGTGCTCGTGGGTTTCACCGAAGAGGTAAACGTCTGAAACCTGCATCACTTCGGGCTTTCCTCCCACATTAAGCTGACACGCCGCGATATAACTGGAATACTGTTAAAAGCGGCGTTAAACCCAACTCACTCACTCACTCATCGCATAAGGTGGTCAGAGAGTGAGCGAATTTGGTTTAACGCCGCTTTTAACAGTATCCAAGTCATCTCACTGCGTGTCAGCTTAATGTGGGAGGAAATTTTAAAGCCCAAAGTGATGCAGGTCTAAGACGTTAACCACTTTGGTGAAACCCACGAGCACAGGTATGGTGCTGACAAACCTTAATAATAATCGAGGCAAACAGGGATTCGAACTCAAAATCATAGGTTTCTGACGTGACCAAGGGGCCCAACTCTGCACAGTGAATTGCGTCGCCTAAGACGACTGGGCCGTCCGTGGCCCAACAGAGCGGCAGAACATCGATTGAATTTTTTTTAAAATTGGCGCAAGTATGTTTACTTATAATATTGCTACTGACGTTTGAGCTGTATCAGTTGTCATCGTTTTAGACCACAGTAATAAATTACTGACTAAAATTAAACACTTTCTTCATACAGACGTGTCTGTTGCAAATTTTGTTTACTAGTCTTATTAGCGGGTTGTGTTTCTAGCGGTGTGTGTAACTAGCGAGGTATGTTACTAGCGGGGTATGTTACTAGCGAGGTATGTTCCTAGCGAGGTATGTTACTAGCGAGGTATGTTACTAGCGGGGTATGTTACTAGCGAGGTGTATTACCAGCGTGGTATGTTACTAGCGAGGTATGTTACTAGCGGGGTATGTTACTAGCAGGGTGTGTTACTAGCGAGGTATGTTACTAGCGGGGTATGTTTTTAGCGGGATGTGTTACTAGCTGGGTATGTTACTAGCGGGGTGTGTTACTAGCGGGGTATGCTACTAGCAGGGTATGTTACTAGCAGGGTATGTTACTAGCGAGGTATGTTATTATTGAGGTATGGAAAATAGCATAGTTTAGTCCCTATCGTACCTTGATAGAAAGTAAGTCCATTTAGTCTAATGTATGGTGTCATAATGGCTTACCCGGTGACGTCATGTTTGACCCACATCTGTGAGATTTCACGTATATGGAGAGAGTGCTACGGATGAATTCTTAGAACTTTTTGTATTTTACAATTTTGATAAACATTCTGTGTTTTCAGATTCGCTATTGAGTATTTTGCACGAAAACACATGACTTTAGCTTTATCTCATAATACGTGAAATCTCACAGATGTGCAACAAACATGACGTCACCGGGAAAACCATTACGTCATGACACAATGGCTGACGTGACGCGAGACAAAAGAAGCACCCGAGTCGAGTTATTATGAGAAATACCGATTAAACTTAATTATTATATAAATTTATATGGGATTGACAAAAAGGAGAAAACAGTCGACCGCCTCCGTGGTCCATCGGTAGAGAGTCCGCCCGGAGAGCAAAAACGCCGGGATTCGATCCCCGGCCGCGTCATACCAAAAGACGTTAAAAGTTGGTACTTGTTGTTACCCTGTCTGGCGCTCGGCGTTAAGGAGCTAAAACAAGGACTGGTCGGCACGGAGTCAGTATACTGTGTCTGAGTGGGGTATTCATGTTAAACTGCGGCATGGTATCTCAGTGGGCTGGCTCTAGGAATCGGCATCTGTCCGGACTAACACACACACACACACACACACACACACACACACACACACACACACGTGCATGCACGTCGCTATGTAAGTGCAATAATCTTGGACGCGACGTTAAACCCCATTTCAATTCACTACCATCTGGAAAACAGTCATTCATTCGCAGGTGATATCAAACAAGCCATTCTATTCTTTGGGTAAAAGGATTATTTGCTGAGTGTATTTGACTCACATGTCGCTATGGGCAGAGGGCGCCACTCCGTGTAGCAGTCTTACTTTACGTCATTATCATTACGATGAGTAACTCAGGGTGCGCCGGACACGACAGCAATGGAACAACAAATATGTTATCATTGTGTAACCTTTGGATGAAGCTAAACCTCATTACGGATAATGGCCAAGATTTATTTCTGTGGACTTCAGCGAATTGAGATATAGTCATCTACATACGGTAAAACCAACTCTGGTGGTAAATATCAGTTGCACATTCTGACGCAGGCGCTCAGAATAACCAGTCACGTAATCCAGTCACGTAAGCACTTTACACTTTCCTGACACGCCAACTCAAATACTGTTCAAGCAGCCCTAACATCAAACGTCCCATACTTGCCGTAAAAGATCCGTGAAGATCCGGGGTAGAATAGGTTTTCAGCAACCCAAGCTTGCCGTGAAGAGCGACTATGCTTGTCGTAAGAGGCAACTAACGGAATCGGGTGGTCAAACTCGATGACTTGGTTGATGCATGTCATTGTATCCCAATTGCCTTGATAATGATTATATTTATTTCTATCAGTGTTGTTTAATTACTTAATGTTAAATGTACTCTGTAGTACTTCATATCTGTAGCTAGGTTGTGGTTATCTTATATTCATAAGAATATACGAGTATGTGCCGGACAGGCGACGACTGACTGACCGGACCTTCAAATAACCATTACTGTTTTGTTTGTTTGTTTGTTTGTTGTTTAACGCCCTACTCAACCATATTCCAGCTATATGAATGCGGGCTGTAAATAAGCGAGTCTTGACCAGACAATCCAGTGATTGACATCATGAGCATCGATCCACGCAATTGGAACACCTCTTACGACAACCATAGTCGCCTTTTACGGCAAGCATGGGTTGTGTGTGTGTGTGTGTGTGTGTGTGTGTGTGTGTGTGTATATATATATATATATATATATATATATATATATATATATATATATTACTTCTTCCCTATATGTATATATTTATGCTTCTTCCCTTTAACCCAACATAGCTTAAGGGGTAACAATATCTGATAACAAGATCGCCTAGTTGATAATCACGAAGCTGGATTGTCGCTGGATATGATTACTTGCTGTACATCTCGTGTGATGTGGAACGAGTATGTGAGTGAATTGTGTCGAGTCTGGAGCAGGTAAACCATGGTCAGTGGCAGAAGCACGTGCGCGATCCACGTCACTGGGTTCAGAGGTCACACAATGCTTTAACAATCGAGTCTGGACCAGGCAAACCAAGCTCAGACCGCGAGGCTATATCTCATCGAGTTAGATAAAAAAAAATTTTTTTTGTAAATATAGAGAGTTGAACTGAACTGAATATATTAAAAATTTAAAAGCGAATTTATTGTCATATGTCCATATCTCCTGGCGAGACGAAAGTCGTAGTGATGGAGTGAGTGAATATGGTTTAACGCCACTTTTAGCAATATCCCAGGGGACACCAGAAATGGGCTTCACACATTGTACCCATGTCGGGAATCGAACCCGGGTCTACGGCGTGTCGAGCGAACGCTTTAACCACTAGGCTACCCGACCTAGTTGTGAAGGAACTGTTCCCACTGTCCCATTGCTTGTTTTAAGAGGCGACAAAGTAGATCGGGTGGTCCGACCCCAGGCTCCATTATTTACAGGAATATTGCCGAGTGCTGCGTTACGTTAAGCAACAAAGCAACATGTGCCTGCAAGTCCAGCTTGCAAGGGGTGGCCACACCACTGTATGGGTCTATGTGCGCCATGCGACCAGAGGTGAAATATCTGATAACGCCTACGCTCAAAGGCCTACTTAGACAAGCAGGTTATCATCAAAGATATTGATCAATTCTCCTAACTCTAGTTTCCCAGTACTGATAAAAGGTTATCAGAGTTAATGATAATACCATACACTTGAATGGGTGGCATTACTTACGACAATTAGTATTTCTGTGCAAGGGAAGCAACTCGCGTTTCCCTGATGGGCCTTGTGGATCAGAACCAGATGTTCTCCAAGCCTGGTTCCATGGGATTGCTGCGCTTGCGCTACATTGACATCTGACAGTTGTGATTGGATAAAATTGTGCAAGATTTTTATGTTTTTGAAATGTACCATTCAGTATTTAAAACGGACAATGTTTTTCATTATTCAGTGCTGTCTTATTTAACATAATGACAAGCTAAATGTGACCTCAAATGTTTTCAAGCAGGTGATATTTGGTGCGAAACTTGGGGTGGGTTGTTTAGCTTCCCGTATTCGGAAAGGAACTGGCTATATTAGCCATATTTTTTGGTTTATTTTGCTGCTTCAAGGCCAGACATGTACATGTAATAGCTGTTTAATGCCTTGTTGCTTCTAAAAAACATACATTACTATCGAAATATATGAGAAAATATTTGTCTTGTGATTAACTTATGAACGTATATATACATAGCGTCAGTATGGAGGAGTAACGCACATAGTAAAATACAAAAGTATTCAAAAACTGTCGCATTTTCAATTTCCAAGAGTGCAGTTCATTCGCACCTGGAATGAACCATTTTATACCCACATTGGCTGTTACTGGTCATGTATTGCAGGCGCAACCACTGGTTGCGTTCAGACGAATGTTTTGGGTGGCGTTTTCCATTACCTTCAGTCTAAAACTTTTCCATCTTCCCGGGGCAAGGGAGGTAACTGACTCCAGTTTCTACCCTTCCCGAACTTGGCTGTAATTTCAGGGCTCGATCGCGCCACCAGTGACTACTACGAGTTACGTCCCTTCTATGTCCCATCTAATGACCAATCAGATTCCACCTCTCATATCACTTGCATTTATTCAAACAAAATTGCAACACCCATTGAAGACGATCCGATCGATTTTCAAAATCTGTTTTGTAACAAAACGGGTCTTACTTCGCGAAGCGCAGAAAAAATCAGACGAGCAACTTGATTAAAAACATGAAAAGATTTGGAAAATATCTGTTGACGCTAAGTTGACGAGAAAGCGACCGAAATCTACACGGCAGTTCATTTACCGGATGTCGATTTTGATTGGCCTGTGCATTGACTCGTGAGTCCAGCCCAAATATAGTCCTATTAAACCTATAAATATTTTGCGGCAAGGGTTGAGACTGGACTTTTGATAAGAAGCTACGACGTGAGTTCTTGCGATGAATTAAAAAAAACCCAGCAAGTATTTCGTTTCGCTCATTACGATGTTTTTAGCTTCGTCAATAATGAAATAAATACATTGCGAAATGGAATTGACATGAACGTATTGGAAGTCTGTATACGAATTATGGCTTCAATAATATTAGATAGTCAGCATATACAAGATAAAAGTTATGCAGAGCATAACATCTGGCACACATTAGGCATCAATATCATTATGATGTTAGAAATGTTTACAGCGCACTTACCGTAGTTCCTCTATTTGACGTCTGTGCTCGAGCCGTTGACCCGACGTCAATAAAAGGCCGGCTTGTATTAGGGGTCCGGCGTCTATTCTGTTCAATGCTGGCACAGTGGTTACTCACTCCACCTTATCGAAGCCAAATTCTACAGTCATACAAGGTAAATACGGTCATCATTACACATCACACATTACACATCACAGTATTAGAGATTCAGCATATAATAGAGCCCCGGGCAGATTTCGATTTCAATTTTTTGGACAGAGAGTATGGACCTGCGTCAAGTTGAGGCGTTTGGCCGGCGCGTATTGGATATCTCGGCGTCGAATAGAGGAAATACGGTACTTCATAATGGACAGCATATAGGTTTTAGAATGTAGCGACAAGTTGGTATTTTAGTAGATTGTTGTTTAGCTGTTTCAATATGAAAACATGAATAATATTTAATGTTTGGGATGACAGTAGGCACTCGTCTAATTATCCTGGCACATTGCAACTTTTCTCGGCGGTTAGATGAAACTGGGTTTAACGTCGCGTCGGAGATAATTGCACTTATATAGCGACGTGCATGCACGTGTGTGTGTGTGTGTGGCTGCTTGTACTATATAGCTAGTCCGGACTGATGCCGAATTATATAATGCTAGCTCACTGAGTTACCATGCCGCAGTTTAACATGACGGACGCTCTACCGATACACCACGGAGGCGGTCTTTTTTCTCGGAATAATAATGAACGGTCGTGGAACCTAATAAACCGTTATCTCATTTGAAAACTTAACATTTCTGAATTATATAAGTAACAAAAGGTATCACAGCAGCACTTGCCTGTTGTGTCGTGTGTTAAAAGTTAAACAGTTATTATTGAACAGATTAGTTAATATGCTCCGGAAATGAACCCATCAATTTTAACGGTTACATGAGTCCATTTAAAAGATATACTGAATAGCAACTCAAAGTGCCTGATGTTTCTCGATCCGCATTTGAATAAGCGACGGCCTTGATAAATAACGGGTTTCGTAATATTTGCTAGGTACAAAATATACAGAGATATTTTAGAATACGTGCAACTGGAATTGTGTCCATGTCATATCCTCAAATTGAACTTTTGATCTGTTCCCTCATACATTGAAACACATCAGAAAGATCCATTTGAAAATGAATGAATGAATGAATGAATGAATAATTCTATATCCAACGTGATGGATAGCTAAAGCCCTTTTCTATATCCCCCATAATGAATAGTTGGGGCCCGTTTCTAAATCCCTTGTGATGGATAGATAGATCTCGATACTCTTTTCTCGGTGAAGGGTACATGGAGCCCGTTTGTATATCCCCAAGAACGGACAGATGGAGCCCGTTTGTATATCCCCAAGAACGGGCAGATGGAGCCCGTTTGTATATCCCTAAGAACGGACAGATGGAGCCCGTTTGTATTATCCACAAGAACGGGCAGATGGAGCCCGTTTGTATATCCACAAGAACGGGCAGATGAAGCCCGTTTGTGTATCCCCAAGAACGGACAGATGGAGCCCGTTTGTATTATCCACAAGAACGGGCAGATGGAGCCCGTTTGTATATCCATAAGAACGGGCAGATGGAGCCCGTTTGTATATCCCCAAGAACGGACAAATGGAGCCCGTTTGTATTATCCACAAGAACGGAGCCCGTTTGTATATCCCCAAAAACGGACGGATGGAGCCCGTTTGTATATCCCCAAGAACGGAGCCCGTTTGTATATCCCCAAGAACGGATAGATGGAGCCCGTTTGTATATCCCCAAGAACGGACAGATGGAGCCCGTTTGTATATCCCCAAGAACGGACAGATGGAGCCCGTTTGTATATCCCCAAGAACGGACAGATGGAGCCGTTTGTATATCCCCAAGAACGGACAGATGGAGCCGTTTGTATATCCCCAAGAACGGACGGATGGAGCCCGTTTGTATTTCCCCAGGAACGGACAGATGGAGCCCGTTTCTATATTCCCTGTGATTTTTCACCTCTCTATTTACATGAAAGTAATGCTTGTAAAAACAGTTGATGTTTTCGTCCTGTGAACAAAACACTGTAAAAAGCAACACGGAAATAAATCGTATGGGGAAACTAGAGATTGTTTTGATTGGAATGTTTAAATGTGAGGACATGCTTACGTGATACGAATCTACGACGTGAGTTCTAGCGATGAATTTTAAAAAAATGGACGTATTTCGTTTCGCTCATAGTTCTATGTTTTGTTCTTTTTGCTTTTAAAATAAATACATTAAAGTAAATACATTGCGAAATGGAAATAACATTATATTGACAAAATAGTATGGCTTATAATAGTATATATATCCGATAGTCAATCCATATCGTATTTTCAATGACATATGTTATAAAAACATGCCGAATCGCCAAACAGCTGGACTTAAAACTAGTTGGATAAAAATCAAACTAATAGATAAAGATAAGATATATAAATAGGGTAGAGATCACCAGCAACCAACAACCAACAAGGTCATTTTACTAGAGATCATCGTAAAAGTAGCTCTGCATAGTTGGATTTATACCATTCCACGACCTCCTGACAATCATTACCAAGTAAAGAGCAAATTAAAACCAACACGTACACTTCTATTAAAACTGTGGCAGAAAACCACTTTGAATATCGCGGTATTACGTGCCCTATTTGTGTTTTGTATTCTTATTGGACGCTGTTCAGTTCTTGAATAAGAATTATTTCACATGGATACTGCTCCATACAAATCTCATCTGTGTCACATTTGAAATACTTTTTTACTTTGTTACAAGTTGGTATGCATGAGTGCGTGCATGCGTGCGTGTGTGTCCCAGCTTCTGAATCTATTTCTGTTGTGACGACGGCATCCTGGTGTTACAGTATAATTTATGTCGAGTTTCATCCCCAAGGTGTGCAAGGAACTTACGATCTTGAGTTCGAATCCCAGATTCGCTCTGATTATGACTCTTGGTTTGTTTACACCACACCAAGTTGCAGCGTCTAGGATCAATATCACCTCGGGATTTTCCAAAGACATTGTGATATAACAGAAACTATCTCAAACGCGCTAAATCAAACTAACTCACTCATGTGTATGTGTGCGTGTGTGTGTGTGTGCGCGCGTGTGTGCGTGTACGTGCGTTTGTTGTTTAACGCCGCACTCAGCAATAGTCCAGCTATATGACGGCGGTGTGTAAAATAATCGAGTCTGGGCTAGACAGTCCAGTATCTATCAATGCAACTGGCATACAATGACATGCAGCAACAAAGTCAGTGAGGGGCGGTCGGGTAGCCTAGTGGTTAAAGCGTTCGCTCGTCACGCCGAAGACCCGGGTTCGAATCCCGACATGGGTACAATGTGTGAAGCCCATTTCTGGTGTCCCCCGCCGTGATATTGCTGGAATATTGCTAAAAGCGGCGTAAAACCAAACTCACTCACTCACTCACAAAGTCAGTGAGCCTGACCACCCGATCCCGTTGGTCGCCTCTTGCAACAAGCCAATAGAGTCGCCACTTATACCCAGCATGGGTGGCTGAAGACCAATTCTTTAACCGGATCTTCACGGGTCTCACTCATATATGAGTCCTCCTGACAATATATATTTTACTAAATGAATATTATTCAGTGTCTTCATATATTTAAAGCAAACTTGATGTTAAATTTGATACCTTTCTATAAAAAAACCCCGGACATATTAGACGCATTTCTAGTCAGTATATGCAGTGGTGTAAAGTTCTGTCGCTCTCATCGACCATAATCAAATACTTAGGTTACAATTATGATATTATCACATTTCCTGTGCAGACCTGTTAGGCACTGAAATGTCATTCAGATTTTGAGTGCGGTTATTAAACGGTGACAACCTAAATTGCTTCAAAATGAGATTACCAAGCCCTGCAAATGAGATCCCATATTTTGCAATTATTCATTCTATGACAAAGTGTACTAGATTAAATAATAATTTATGTCAATATATGTTAAATGAACACTACATTCCTTTCCCAAAGATGTTTATTCAAAGCATAGAACATCCTTTACTTCGCACCACGGACTCGGACGAGCGTTAACTGTACGGCAGAACACCAACCGCATATTAAAATGACAAAATCTTATGGGTAACAAAATAAGAAGCACCGGTCCTACATCAGATTCTAAATATAGACTAAGTTGGGTTCGGCAACAGCGCGCTGAGGGGGTTGTCCTTCACTTTCCAACATGGCGTCTGTGAGTATTGCCGCGTTGACCTTACTCTTGTACATCAACTGCATATCGGGCCTGCGCCCCATTCAGGAAAACACTATTCCAATCTTTGAGCCCACCCTTGTTTACAAATGGGTTACGCTGGACTACATACGGCCAAGCAACATGTCCTATCATCGGTTCCGAATGACCTATCCCTACGACTACAGAAACACACTGCTGGGCGGGCTCAAAGTGTACAAAGGGGACATTTATGTAACAATTCCTCGTATAAGCAGCGGAGTGTCGGCAACTTTAAACCGGGTTGTTGAAAAAGACGGCGCCCCATATCTCGAAGCTTTTCCGAACTGGGATTGGCAGACACTTGCTGACTGCGATGCATTACAGACGGTGAACAACATAGAAATCGACCCCGTGAAAGGATGGATGTGGATAATTGACACTGGCAGAGTGAATACCTTTTGGGGTGGAGTGAGAAATTTGTGTCAACCCAAATTGATTATTTATGACATTGACAAAAAAGAAGTTGTCATTCGTTATGTTTTTCCACCAGAAGTAGCTTCTATTGCGGATTCATATCTGTCCGACATTGTTATTGACCCTGAAGCTGGATATGCTTACATATCGGACATACTTAGACGGAGGCTTATCTTCTACAGCATGAACGACAACTTCTCAATCGCGGTGGAACACACATTATTCGCGTATGAATATGGCAACAATACAATTACTATAGATGATCGTACTATCAAACTGGCAAATACATCTGCTAATATCGACGGAATCGCTTTATCGCCGAGGAGGGACTATGTTGTTTTTTCCCACCTTGGAGGGTTCGGATTGTATAGGATAAGTACTGAATTCTTCAGAAAACTCATAAAAAATTCCACATATGTGTCCGAGCTTGATAACTATATCAAACGAGTAGGATTCAAGCCCTCACAGTCGCGAGGTATTGTTTTGGGCCACGACAACTTGTATTATGGGGCTCTAGGCCTGGGTGCTGTGTACAGTTGGCAGATCACGGATCTACTGAGCTACCCCGACGCATCTGAAAACACATTAAGAAGTGTCCCTCAGGCGAGGGCGGTAGCTGACGACAGAATTAACTGGATCGACACCGTTACCTTGGATACAGAAGGATTTTTGTGGATTACGTCATCAAATCTTGTGAGGTATTTTCTTGACGTCATGGACTACCATCACACCTATAACTACTACATTTGGAAAGTCGACGTTGGTGAGGACAGTTATTTGAAGAAAAAGACATCGCCTCTGCCAACAACGACAACAACTACAACAACGACAACAACTACAACAACGACAACAACGACAACAACTACAACAACTACACCAACGCCTGTGAATGATAAGAATGCTGCGTCGAATCAAGGCTGGAGAGGTGTATGGACTGTTTTTTCAGTGTGTTCAGTGCTTGTTTCGCGTTAATTACTGCCTTACAGGCCTTTCGCAATTTATCATGCAATATCTAGTTTGTCTTTGTTCAAATGTTTGTCACTGCCAATATGATTGTATGTTATAAGACACTGAAATCAGCTATATTACGGTGGCCTGAAGTAAAATGTCGACTCTGGACCAGGCAAACCAGTGGCTGAAAGAATGAGGAACGGTCCTCGACGTCATGCATTATGACGCACTATTTGCCAAGTCTACGAAGACTACCATACACTCGTCTTCTGTCGACTCTTTCAAACAAGCAGGAGGTGGCTATCATTTCCCGGAAACCCCACGGGACCATCCGAAAACGTGAACTGGCATGACTTTATTGAGAAGACGCGCATGAAGAATCATAATGGACATGTGCTTGTTTGGAAGGTGATGTGAGGGCACATACCGACTGCACGTCTTATGCGCAGTGGAGGTTGATCTGCACTGTCAGTGGAACCACACCCGAAATGGACTTCCGGACATACACAGACAGCATGACTCCTCTAGGTACCTTAATGACCCGTTAATGTGGCATAGTGTATTCGTTATCTTGTCATTTGAACTCGACTCGATTCTTGACTTTTGAACAGACCTGTGAAGATCCGGGTTAGAATAGGTCTTCAGCAACCTATGCTTGCCGTAAAAGGCGACTATGCTTGTCGTAAGAGGCGACTAACGGGATCGGGTGGTCAGGCTCGCTGACTTTGTTAATGCATGTTATCGATCCCAATTGCGTGGATCGATGCTCATGACGTCAATCACTGGATTGTCTGGTCCAGACTCGATTATTTACAGACCGCCGTCATATAGCTGGAATATTTCTGAGTGCGGCGTAAAACAAAGTGACTTTTGAATACGATATATGCAATATTCGATCGGTACGGTTTACAAACATTTGCCTACTCGTTCTTTCCTGTTTGGGGTTCTTAGTAGAAACACATACACCTAGACAACCACGAACCCAGAGTTACTGAACATCAATCTGCTTGTCCATGAGTTACTTCCCTTCAATTGCTGAGGGGGTTGTCAAGGTATATGTTGGAACTAAGACAGATTTTATCGATACTTTAAATGGTCGATAAGTTACATTTTGCAGTATGTGTACCGACGAAGGACAGAAATTGTTGTGTTTGTCTTATACCATATCCAACCCGTAAACTTGTAAAGTCAGCTCCACGAAGCGTCAATAAAATCACTGCCGTCTCCTTATTTCTGTCGGTCTGTCTGTATCTTTCCCTCTCTACCTCCTCCGCTGTCTCTCCCCTCTAGATACAGTATTACACACTTAGGAACAGACATAGGTAGAATTTGTTTTCCCCCATAAAAGTAGATCTAACATTTTTCGTTATCAAATCGATTAAAAACATCTAAACAAAGTATCAGCACATGTTTCTTGCAGAGAGGAGTGTCTGTTCGTTAGGGGAATTAGTAAAATATAGTGAAATAAATTAAAACGAACGATGGATTTTTCATGAAAAATCTATAACCGATCTTCAACAACATGATTATTTACACACAATATACACGAATCACAGAATCACATACATGCCATGAGATAAGCCAAATAAGAATGGTATTTTCGATTCCTTATTCTCCAGTGCCATTATTTCCGTCTCTATCAGCATTGTACATAATGGCTCCAGCAGCCTCAACGATATGCCAAATCACCTGCATCACATCGGGAGTTTTGTAACCTGTGTGTAACATCTGAAACACTGTCCACAGCGGCGTTAAACCAAACTCACTCACTCATCTATTAGTCCTCTTGACAAAATGTCTTTCAATAGATATTGTTTATCGCACACCTTAATATATTTAAAGCAAACTTAATGTTAAGACCTTCGTAATAAGAACACAGAAGACATTTGATATTAAGCTCTATAAAAATCTACATACTGGTTTCCGCAAATTTCTACTCAGTATGTGCAACGCTATAATTTCTGTCGTTCTCAACGACGATCATCAAATAGTCAGATTACAATAATGATATAATTACATTTTCCGTGCAGACTTGTTAGACACAGAAATGTCAGAGGGACATTCATTTTTTTTTGGCGGTTTATTAAACGGCGATACAGTACATACTTCAAGGTCATGTTCACGAAGCTCATTTGCAATTCCTCATTCAGATATATTTTATTAAATATGTAAATATATGTTAAAATGAACATTCATCTCGTCCCTATTCTTAAATATGTTTGAGACTGGCGACAGCTAGTTTGGGAGGAGTCGTTTACTTCTGAACATGAGCTCTGTGAGTATTGACTACTCCTGTCCATCAACTGCATATCGGGCCTGGACCCTATTTAAGGTGAAAACACTATTCCTAGATTTGAGCCCACGCTTGTTTACAAATAGGTGACGCTGGATTACATACGGCCAAGCAACATGTCCGAGCATCGGTTCCGAATGACCTACACTCAAAGTATACAATGGTGACGTTTATGTATCATGACATTTTATGATACAACTGGACCGCCTCCAAGGTCCGGGGATCGATTCCCAACCACGTCATAGCAGACGTTAAAATATGGTACTTGTTGCTACCCTGTCTGGCATTAAGGGGCTAAAACAAGGACTGGTCGGCTCGGAGTCAGTATACTGTGTCTGAGTGGGGTATTCATGTTAAACTTCGGTATGGTATTTCAGTGAGCTAGCACTATAATTCGGCATCAGTCTAGTACAAGCAGCCACACACACACAGACACATGCATCTTGGACGCGACGTTAAACTAAATTTCACCGCACCTTTTTTCTGTCGGACACTCTCTTCATATGTCTCTTTCTATCTTATTTTCTACTTCCCACGCTGTGTCTCAACTATTGTGGTACTCGACTAAATAGATATGGAAGTTGTTAATCGTTAAAAAAGAAACAGTATTGCACACTTTGGTATAGACAGGAGTAGAAATTGTTTATTCATTCCATAAAAGTAGAGATGACACTTTTCGTTATCAACTCCATTGAAGACATCAGTGGGCAGTGTCTGTTGAATGATGGGTTTTTCAATAAAAATATAACCTTTCTCCAACAACGTGATTATTTACACGTAATATACACCATTCACAGATTAGTCAAATAAGAATGGTATTTTCGATTCCTTGTTCGCCAGTGCCACTGGAGTATTTCCGTCTCTGTCAGTGATGTACATATTGGCTCCTGCAGCCGCAAGGATACGCCAGATGTGAGTGTGACCCTTCATGGCTGATAAGTGAAGTGGCGTTTGCCATTTCTCATCTTTGAGGTTGACCTCTGCTCCTTTGCTTATAAGAGTTTCCACTATTTCAGTGAACCCGCGCTGCGACGCCCAATGGAGGGATGTTTTGCCATTGAAATCCTTATGGTTCAAATCTGGTTTCTTATCAAGCACAAGCTGTACCACAGACATGTGTCCATTGACACATGCTGCAAGTAGCGGTTGCCCTCCAAACGTATTGCTCATTGTAATGTCAGCACCATGCTCAATCAGTGTTTGCACTATTTCCAGATGACCTTTCAGGGATGCGTAAAATATCGCAGTGGAACCGATCGAGTCACAGCAGTTAATGTTTGCACCTTTCTCAAGAAGCTGTTGAACAATAGAAAGCTGTCCGTGAGCACTCGCGCTATGTAGAGGACAACACCCTTGAGTGTCTGTGATGTTGATATCAGCACCTTTCTCAAGAAGGAAGTTGGCCAGTGAAATATGTCCTTCAACTGACGATAGAAGCAAAGCGGTTTGACCAAGACTTGTCTTTTGGTTAATATTTGCTCCTTCTGTCAACAACATTTCCACGGCTTCTGTTTTGCCTGTTGATGCCGCCTGTAGCATGAGTTGACTGACAGTTGGTATGGGTGTTGTGGATGTCACGAATTCTAGCAAGGGCACGCAACCTTGTCTTGCAACAAGACTAGCAAAATTGTTTCCTCGCTTATCCTTCAGGTCTAGGATGCTCTTTAGTGTTTTAGATTCAAGTCCAGAGAGGTATTTCTTCCAGTGTTCAGGAAACCCTTTTTTGAAGAACCTGGAGTTGTTGAGCAAATCTGATGCATGTCCTCTTTCCACCTCCATCGTAAGACGTTCAGCCAGTGTTGAGTAAGATGAAACATTCACATTTACTGAACATGGGTTGTTTCTGAAAGGACAGTCACTTGGCGATAACAGAACGCGTTGCTGAAACTCCTGGAAAGAACAGTATGAGATGTAGAAATCTTGGTATTTTGAAGAATTACCAAAAGTGAAGGCAATGGCTTCTGCTACTGATTCATGCAAAAACCGAAATGTTGATCCCACCTGAATGACGTATGTGCCAGTCAAGGAAAGAAAGACTTCATGGAGTTTGCACAGATCCATAACCTCAGCATTAAGCCCAAGCTCGGATCGCAGGACAGTAAATAGTCTTTCAACTGGTTCGGGTGACCTTAGTCCGAGGAATTTAACAATTCGTGTCCTCACACTCTGTTCCTTGCCAGATTTAAAAGTTTCTTGTGGAATTACACCGTCCCAAAACAACAGCATCACAAGTGCAAAATATTTGATTTTGTCCGTTTGCTTCAGGTAATTTAGTTCATCAACCAGAACATCAGCCAAATGCCCGAGAAAGAAGCCGAGTCCTTGCTTCTTGAGCTGCTGGTCTGAGAAAAAGATTCTGCATCGAAGGGGGAATCCTTGGATGTAGTCATTCTGTGCTATTTCCTTCATTTGGCTTTTGTCAATGTTTACATCAAAGTTCTTTAGATAAAATGCCAACATCCCAAATTTCTCATCAAATGTCAGTTTCCACTCATCACTTGAAATATCTACAATGTTCCGGAAAATCTCCACTCCACGAACTATTCCTTGACAGTCTTTGTGAATATAATCTCTAACAGTTGAAATAACCTTTGTGTAGCCCTGTCTAATGCATTCTGTCATCTCCTGACCAAGAATAGCCCATTGTTCCAAGGCAAGACTTGGAAAAGCTTGAGTCTTTCCAAATACGTCGTCAATGAATATGATCTGTCTGATGGTTGGGTTCCATCTCTGTCTCCACTCTTTAGGAGAGTTAACCGTTGCCACTTCATATCCAAGGGAAAGATAATGTAAAACAAGGTGTTCAGCAAGGAATGTCTTCCCGTCCCCTTGCTTTCCCTTGATGATCACAATTCCTTTTTCATCTACGATTCGTCGAACCTGTTTGTATGCTCTTGTCTCGTAGAAGAGATCACAGTCTTCTCTCCATTTTTGGACTCGACTCAACAGGCGAACTAAAAACAAATAGCACTAGTAAATAGAAATTGTGCATATACATGTAATTATAAGAACATGATACTTATTTTTGATTTTGCGGTTAGACATGATTGAAGTTATATGAATGTTGAGAACATTTTAATACTTACCATCAATATTTGAAGACCATTTCAGGCAAAGGCAGATACTTTTGAGCTTGTTTACTATTTCCACGTCAAGAGTCAAATCGGATGTGTTTCCTAAGTAAAGGAAACATAAAAATACGAATATAGTGATAAACACATTCACATAAAGAAGCGACTATGCTTGTCGTAAGATGTGACTGACTGGATCAGGTGGTCAGGCTCACTGACTTGGTTGATGCATGTCATCGTATCCCAATTGCGTGGATCGATGCCATGATGTCACAAAACAAAACAAAAATCATAATTATAAAGAAACCATGGAATTGACATAACTGTGAACAAGGGCGCATCAGAATACGAATACATTACGTTTGAATGTAAGTAGCATTGGGTTTCTTAGAAACACACTGTATGGTCCTATCTTTACACCTTGGTGCTCCGATTTACGATAATGATGAACCTGCCACTATTGTCAAATTCGTTTGATACAGTTATTTTCAATTTACAATGAATAGGTAGTTCATATTTGTTTACAAAAGATCGAGTCCATATTGACTCTTTGTCATGAAGTCGATACAAGAACGAGTATTACAAAGGCAATGACGTGTTCTAATTTCCAATGTAGATTATTACATTTAGGACTGCCTGTCTATCCTAGGTTGAACATATATGTGCTAAGCTCAATGTCTTTGTGTTACCATCCGTCTTTTCCAGATTTAGGTCCTCCATGATGTCGCATCTTTCAATCTGATTTAGGATGCTGCCAAGGAACCTCATGCTTTTGTCCATCTTCCAGTATTGAACAACAACTTTCCCCCACTTGTCTAGCATCCGAGCAACTGCACAACACAGACCCATTGTTTGAAACGAGGCTTGAAGGTTCTGTAGCTGAATACTGGAGAAACCAATGTGGATGCCGAACTTGTGCCAGTCCCCCGCCAGTCCGTGGCTGATCTTCTCAATCACTGTGTCCGGTAAACCTGTGTGACATATATGTCAATACGTGATCGTGACTTATTCAGGGAACGCTGGGGTCTAGGTTCCATGATATATAGCACATTCAACCCGTGTTGTATGCCAAAGCAGTTGTTAGACAACATAGCTTCATTAGGGCTTCAAAAGTGTCAACATTAACCAAAGCGCAAAAACGTCAAATTTACCGCGTTATTTGTTTTGGGGTTTCTTAACCAAAAGGCGACGTTGTGACATTGATAATGTCGTAACGTCGCCATTTTCATACAATGGTGTGCACGTTTAGTAAGTGAATTAATCTACGCATGCGCAATAATGATTTTGCTCCTTTGGAAAGTCAAGTGGTCTTTTTGAGATCAGATGATTCTAAAATCAAAGTACCCACCAATTACAGTATGAGTGAAAACAAATCTTTCAGCGATTCTTTAGATATCATTTCAAATATTTGTATTGTCGATGTCATTTTCATAACACAACCTGTTGTGACAGCAATATACAAACAGTTTGTGTTCGTATTTCACTCATTCCAATAACTGATACAAACAAGTTTGATGTTACATTTTCTGATAGCAGATTGGATAAATTGCTTCAATGTTAATGAATCAATACAAGTGCATCTTTAAACATGAGTTTGAACACATGCGACGGAAATCATCATTTCTCTATCGAACGCATATAGATGCTCTTATGAAGGCATGGGTATTAGCTGATTACTGACATTCGGGTAGAGAATAGGTCTTCAGCAACCCATGCTTGCCGTAAGACGCGACTATGCTTGTCGTAAGAGGCGGCTAACGGGATCGGGTGGTCAGACTCGCTGATTTGGTTAATGTATGTCATTGATCACAATTGCGTGGCTCGAAGCTCATCATGTCAATCACTGGATTAACTGGTCCAGACTCGCTCATTTACAGACCGCCGTATATAGCTGGAATATGGCTGAGTGCGGCGTTAAACAACAACAACAACAATAAAAAACAAACAAACAAGTATCGGCATCAGTACGAATCATGGATTCGATCCAATAAACTAAGTGACATAACCCTTTTAGCAAACTACTGGACGCCAAGTACCACGTTGAACATTGACATGGAATTCATTTTCGAAGAGTACCTGTGTCCATGTGAATGTTATAGTGCAGCCGCAAAAGGACACATTAATACTTATCGTGCCTCAAAGAGAGATTGACCAGTGAGAGAGCAGAACTACCAACCCCCATGTGAGCCCATATAGCGTCAGTAAAAATCCAAGATCGTTGTTACTTACCTAAAATGAGAACGTATACCGTCAGTAACAGCCATTTTGGATTTTCCAACACCCACCTCACATATTTCACATGACAATTCTGGTACCGATATTCTTTATTCGACACTGTTTTGTGTTTTAATTATCTTCAGTTTTGATATGCAAGGATATTATTTTTTTAAAGATTTTTAGACTTTATTGATAGAGATCATAGTTAAAATTATCAACAAGATTTGGCCTCAAAGATTTAAAGTGTAGTCTCAATTTGACCCTTAACGTCAACGGTTGAAAGTGTCAAGTTTTCATTTTGACATGACATGTGCGATATGGATACCAGTTAGTGTAAACTTTTCGGCATTATTAATTTGTTATGGTGTCATATTAGGTTAGCGGAAAAAATATTGGGCTCGGCTGACGGCAACTAAAGACACCATAACTAATAAGGTAACATACCTGGTGTGATGATAGCTGTCATGGTGGCCGCTCTGGTGTCGAGCCGCGTTCCCAGGTTAACTGAACATTGGTATTCCCCCAGTGCCTGGAAACGATGGACATATTTTAACCATACACAAATAAATGATTACATCTATGTGAACGTACAAACAATGACTTAGTTGTGTACCCTGGGAAACAGGGAAGGTATTCTTGGCATCCTGAACTTCCTACTTGAATGTATCTGACATCGTTGTCCGTGTGTGGCAAACCTACAAGACATGCGTTTACCTCTGTTGAAGAATGCAAACCCTGGGCGGCGTTCCGTACCCCAATCACGACACCCCCACATGACCATTCATCACTTTTTAATTCTTGATAATGTCCTGCCGTGATATTGCTGGAGTTATTGAGTGAGTCAGTAATATTCCTGCAATATCAGTGCGGAGGACACAAGAAAGTTGCGTTTACACATTGCACACATTTTGGGAATCGAACCCGGGTCTTCGGCGCGACGAGCGAACGCTTTAACCACTTAATCTAGGCTACCCCACCCCCTTGATATTGCTAGAATATTGCTGAAAGCGGCGTATAACACTATACACTCACTCGATCTTGATTTATGACTATGCTTCACCTAGCAATAGCGGACTTGGAGCAAATAACTGCCGACCGTAAATCCAACCAAATTAACCATGTGCTTGTGTCAAGTACACGAATAACTACTAGTATTGAAAGCGTATTTGTAGACGGTACAAAAAGCCAAATGAATGCACATATAATTATCCTTTTCAATTATACTGTCTTGATTCATGTTATGCACTTGTGACATCTATTTATGATTACATTTAGGAGCGGTCGGGTAGCCTAGTGGTTAAAGCGTTCGCTCGTCACGCCGACGACCCGGGTTCGATTCCCGACACGGGTACAATGTGTGAAGCCCATTTCTGGTGTCCCCCGACGTGAAATTGCTGGAATATTGCTAAAAGCGGCGTAAAACCATACTCACTCACTCACTCACTCACTATGATTACCATTTATTGCAAAACAAACAATTCAAACTTCAAAACGGGTTCCTTCAGTTCAACGTTATGTTAAAAAATCCATTTTGTTAAGAAAATAAAAATTGGTATAAAAGTTTATTTTAAGAATCTGAGATACTGAAGCTATCGAGGTTGCAACAAAACATCCCGGTGCCTGTGTCTCTAAGGACAGGGGGCATGCATTATCAGATGTGCTTAATGTTGATGAAGGAAGGTCACATGTGTGGCATTTCTTTCCTCGTTATCGTTTTTCACATTTTAAAAGCGGCGTGCTTACAGGAACGTAAACCAGTGTGTTTACATTGTAGTTATTGGATTTGATCCTTTAGAGAAAGACTTATCAAAGGAAGTTAAGTCCTGTGAGTCTATAAAACTTGAAGTTCACCTTCACACTGGACATCTGGATATAGGTTTTGGTTTTGATATTCGGATTTTGAGGTATCAAATACCAGTAATATGTCTGCAAGGAGCAACATGTATGAGCTGGTTAAGTTATTCAAGATAGTTTATGGTACAAATAGAACTATGCTTGTTCTAAGAGGCGACTAACGAGATCGGGTGGTCAGACTCGCTGACTTGGTTGATGCATGTCATCGTATCCCAGTTGATCGATGGTCATGATGTCAATCACTGGATTGTCTGGTCCAGACGCAATTATGTACAGACCGTCGTCATATAGCTGGAATTTTGCTGCGGTAAACAACAAACAAGCAACACGGACTAAATATGACACTCGACTTGTCAGTTTGATGGGCGATGTTATCCCACACTTTGACCCAGAGTTGTCACCTCCTTACTCACTGCCAGGCAATTACTTTTGTTATGAAAATTGTGTGAGTGCAGAGCTCCAGATAAGCTGCGTATCTGCGTGAAATACGCATCAGAAATGCAGAAATACGCAGTAAAATATAATCCAAGCGTATCAAATACGCAACGAACATTACAGATACACTACAAAAATAAAATTTGTGCGTATCATCAAATTATTGTGAAGTAACCCTGCGTATTCGATTAGCAAATCAGCAACTTATTTTGAAATTATAAACGGGCATTCCGTCAACCTTGCCAAACTCCACGATGACAGTTACATCCTGATCATTTGCCATCACACTTTCGTGTGGGAGTATCGTGGTATTTTTGAGTCCTATAAAGCTCTCGAACCCACACGACACCAGTTTGCAGGGACTAGATGAATAGTGTTTTTAAATATTTAACTTAAATACCCACATGTGTAAAAACTAGTGGGTAACAGAAATTTGAATACGCAGATAGAATTACTGATACCCAATGATTTTAAAATGCATGGGTAAAATACCCACAACACCAAAAGCTTATCTGGAGCTCTGGAGTGGTAGGTGCTACCGGGAGAGCAGGACATGAGTTCCCTTTTCACGGACACCTGGTCACCATTCATATAATTTTCATATCACTATTTTGTCTTTAGGCCTTGACCAGATTAACCAGTAATGGATAGCCAGAGCAACGATATACTTCGATAGGACGCACGCACGAACGAACGCACACACGCACGCACGCTCGCACGCACGCACACTGTAGTTGCCGCGTCCCTTCTTATGCAGCTTTTACCCAGTATGGAGTACTGGGGACTTCGTGTGCACATCAAATGCACATGCAGAGGGGAGTATCATTAGTTTGGAAATAAAGATATGTTTTACGACCATGTGTTATAAGCAAACACTTAACAGATAATGGAATGAGAAATGAGACGTCACTACCCTCTTGATGTATCGTAACAAGTACTTTGGATGATAAACACCCTTCCGGGCTCTATGTTGCCACATGATGTTACTAATTCGAAACTTCACTTCATTTTACCACACGTGCCAATCGACAGATACACAATGTCATTTCTGACATCTGATCCGGAATCCTAATTCAAAACAATATAGAGTAAACTACGCTTATAACGAACACGCTTATAACGAACTGACGGATATAACGAACATATTTTCGGTCCCGGCCATTTGCTGTGCATATGCTTATAAGGAACTACGGTTATATCGAACTACAATCAGTGGTCCTTTTGAGTTCGTTATAACCGTAGTTTGCTGTATATCCAACATAATGTACATGTATTTTAACTTTAGCTTGAAAGTATTCAAACCGGTATAAAATACGGATGAGAATTTATAGATGTCAACTTCTATATTATGAGCAACACAACGTTTCGGAGTATGTGCTGACTCCTTCATCAGGTAAAATAGGGGAGAGAATTTATGGATGTCAACCTCATGAAGGAATAAGTATACACTCGAAACCTTATGTTCCTTTTAATCAAGAAGTTGACATCCGTAAATTCTCCTCCTTATGTGCATTTCAAAGACTCGGTCTAAAATACGTTATTCTCAGGCAACATTTAACGTCATCACCCGGTCATCTTTGAGGAACCTTGTCGCTTGTGTTGTAAATGTAAACGAACTTCACTCACTGACCCAACTTTAACCCACTTTATCAAGCTGATGTTGTCTCGGCGATGTCACTGAGGCTATAATCCTATTTCTTCTACTGTTTTGTTAGAGCCAGCTTTCGATGAATACCAATTAGACTCCCGGTCACAAAACACACCCACGAACACAGAACTCCACTTTGAAAACAGAGGACATCGCTATGGTAGACCGCCGGGCTACGTGAGTAATGCCGACACCGTTCTGACAGGATTAAGTGCGGTGAAATGGGGTTTAACGTCACGTCCAAGATTATTGCACTTATATAGCGACGTGCATGTACGTGTATGTGTGTGTTTGTGTGTGGCTGCTTATGCTAGTCCGGACAGATGCCGACTTATAGTGCTAGCACACTGAGATACCATGCCGCAGTTTAACATGAATATCCCACTCAGACACAGTATACTGACTCCGAGCATACAAGTCCTTGTTTTAGCCCCTTAATGCCGAGCGCCAGACAGGGTAACAACAAGTATCATCTTTTAACGTCTTTTGGTATGACGCGGCTGGGAATCGAACCCCGGACCTTCCGCTCTCCGGGGGGCGCCTGACAGGATTTAGTCAGTGGTGAACAAACAGAGTTTAACCACATGGACACCAGCACCACGTGTACACGGGGACAAGGAGAAATATAATTAGACGAGACTTGAACAATTAAATAACATAAACATATTGTATACTGACAGCATTTGACTTCTGTTCCCAGCTATCAAGTGTACATGATTAATCAACCATGGACAATCAGTTTACTGATGTTTGTTGTATTGCGTAATGTTGAACTGTCCATCAATATCGCTTCAACATGGCCAGCAGGTAACCAGTTATTAGCTATGCAGAATTCCACCTCGAGCAGTATAAGGATCCGCTGATTATGGGTTGGAATCAGAGATTGGACTCGATTATCATTCCTAGCCTGAAAGCATCATACAAGAATTATACAAGCATATCATACAAGTATCACACAAGCAAAGTGTTAAACGTCTTTGACCTTAGTGTGTGAGTGAGTTGGGTTTAACGCCGCTTTTAACAGTATTACAGTTATATTGCGGCGTGTCAGCTTAATGTGGGAGGAAAGCCCGAAGTGATGCAGGTCTCAGACGTTTACCACTTCGGTGAAACCAACGAGCACGGGTATGGTCCTGAAAAACCTTGAAACATAATCGGGGCGAACCGGGATTCGAACCCGCAATCCTAGGCTCCTGGCGTGCCCAAGGGACGCGACTCTGCACAGCGAATCGCGGCGCCTTAGACGACTGGGCCACCCGTACCCACCCCCTTCACCTTCAATATATTTACCATCGCAAATGACCATATTCGATGACTAGCTAATCCACATTCAGTGTATATCTCAACCATATTCAACACATCGAGATTTCTTGATATACAATTATTATTTTTATTCAATTAATTCTCCATGGGAGTTTCCCATCCCCCGTTTTTAAAACTGAACGTATTATTAAACTTCACATGCCTAGAATGCCAGGACAAACAAACTATTACACTACTAATGTATGTGTGCTTTTTGTCCCTATTCGCAATATTCTATAAGTATTTCTAAATTTCATATTTTATCCATGTTGGGAATCGACCCTGAAGTTTCGACCCTGTGCAAGAAGCATGAGCTATGGTAACTCATGCTTTATAGTCTCCTCGTCATTGCGGCATTAATTCTAATTGTCAAGATGTGGTGCCGAGTTCTCTCGGAAGACAAACAGAACACGTAAAACACACTTAATCTTTCAAGGGCAAATACTAGGTCAAGGTCACGCTTAACTGACAACAATTCCGGTAACGTCGACCTGATAACAAGGTTGTGAGATAACACAATATTTTGCACCGGAAAACGGGAGTTGAGAGTGATTTTGCATGAAGCACTCAACGATTGCCATACTGTTTACTGTTTACTTCACACATGTGAAAATATGCATTGTGTTATCGTTTGGATTTAGAGGTGAGGTGAGGTAAAATTGGGTTTAACGTCGCGTCCAAGATTATTGCACTTATATAGCGACTTGAATTTAGAAAATGCCTGACAAAGTTGTTTGTTAAAGGTTACATGTAACTCATACAAGTATATATTAATTATTGTTTTAAAATCTAAACAGTCGGAAATCGATGTAATGAATCGAAAGAGAACGGAAGGCATAATTATCCTGTTGGGGGAAATCAACATGGCAAAGGTAACTGTAATAATGACAAGAATCATTTGGGTGAGGAATTATGACGAAGACATACGTGCGCCCAGTTGATCATGTTAAACAATAATTATTCTAATTGTTAGAATATAAATTCCTATACACAGACTGTGTATCATACTGATTAGCATTTCTCGTGTCGTGATGTAGATTAACATGATTTTACGTAAAGACATGCAGATGAAATAGGTAGTAGATCTACATGTATGATTGACGCTGTTACATACAGGTACATGTATGAAGATCTACATGATTGACGCTATTACATACAGGTACATGTATGAAGATCTACATGATTGACGCTATTACATACAGGTACATGTATGAAGATCTACATGATTGACGCTATTACATACAGGTACATGTATGAAGATATGCATGATTGACGCTATTACATACTGGTACATGTATGGAGATATGCATGATTGACGCTATTACATACAGGTACATGTATGAAGATATGCATGATTGACGCTATTACATACAGGTACATGTATGGAGATATGCATGATTGACGCTATTACATACAGGTACATGTATGAAGATATGCATGATTGACGCTGTTACATACAGGTACATGTATGAAGATATGCATGATTGCCGCTATTACATACAGGTACATGTATGAAGATATGCATGATTGACGCTGTTACATACTGGTACATGTATGAAGATATGCATGATTGCCGCTATTACATACAGGTACATGTATGAAGATATGCATGATTGCCGCTATTACATACAGGTACATGTATGAAGATATGCATGATTGACGCTGTTACATACTGGTACATGTATGAAGATATGCATGGTTGACGCTGTTAGATACAGGTGCGTGTATGGAGATATACATGATTGACGCTATTACACACAGGTATATGCATAGAGATCTACATGATTGACGCTGTTACATACAGGTACATGTATGGAGATATGCATGATTGACGCTATTACATACAGGTACATGTAGGAAGATATGCATGATTGACGCTTTTACATACAGGTACATGTATGAAGATATGCATGGTTGATGCTGTTAGATACAGGTGCGTGTATGGAGATATACATGATTGACGCTATTATACACAGGTATATGCATAGAGATCTACATGATTGACGCTATTACATACAGGTACATGTATGGAGACATGCATGATTGACGCTATTACATACAGGTATATGCATGGAGATCTACATGATTGACGCTATTACATACAGGTACATCTTTGGAGATCTACATGATTGACGCTATTACATACAGGTACGGGTATGGAGACAATATACAGGATAGACGCTGTTGCATACAATTACAAGAATGAAGATCTACATGATTGACACTATTACTTCAATTACATGTATAGAGAAGATCTACAGTGTGGTCACCTGTTACATATACAGTTACATGTACGAAGAAGATAACCGCTGACGCCATTGCACATAGGTACATTAATGCGGAAGATTTCCACGATTGGCGATGTTACATACAGTTAAATGCTTGTGGAATATCCACATGAAGGACATTTTTACAAAAAGGTACAAGTGTGTAGAAGGTCAACATGACGGGCAGACGCAGGCGCAGGCACATGTATGCAGAATCTGCCTCCGCAATTACATCCTGCTCAGAATCCAATTTGTGTCGAAGTTCATCTGACTCATTTAAGACAAATATTGACAAAACGTGCTAAGCAAAATCGCGGAAGAGCAGTGCTTACACAGTGGATCTTAAAGGCAATCAAGATGTAAGTTTACATCTATTCTATATTCATGACTGCTTAAGGCGGTTAATCGTTATTCACAAATCTCAATAAGGGCAACTTGTCACGCTTCAGAAGCCCAAACTAAGCATTTCTATGCAGTTATGAGTCGTAACAAATTTTATGACCGATTATAATGTCAGTTTGATAGTTAGCGCTATAGCTTGGGGGCTGGTATATCAAGTTGTCGACTATCGCCGCAGGGGGGTAGCGCACCTATATGTTTCATCCTGTCATTGTAACGCAGGTAAACGATCTGAATTCCTTTAAATGTCAGAGGAGAACGGTTTGCACTCACTGAAGAGATACATTTAAAGTGGAAAATTATTTTTATTCACATTGTTTGCTATTTAACCTCCGAAAAAAATCCATTAAAAGTTTATAACTGCCACGCCGCAGTAACAGGTGCATACTTGAACATTCATTTCAACTGAACATACTGCGAACGAACTTTCTGACAATACGTTGGTGTTGTTCGGCTACATTCTGGTGCGTTTGTGTAAATGTGACCTCGACTATCATAACAGCGTTAACAGGGGATTAGGTTAGTTTTTGACACGACATATACCACACATCAGTCAAAAAACACGCTCTAATGCATAAATGTACATGTACACACGCAGAGTGAACTTATACTTGACCCCTACCCTTAAATTCATATGCATATGAATAACACGAAATATGTCACTTTGAATATTGTTTATATTCAATAGTGTTTGTCCATTGCTAGCAGGGGCTGTTATTAAAGCGTTGAGGAAATGAGAGTTGATGTGATCCTTATCAATCATGGTTCAAATGAACAGAGAATTGAACTTGTCTTAACAGAGGAGTAGACAGATGTTTGAATTACATCATCATAACTTGATAGAAATGCCTGTTTGTACGAGCATTGCCTTTAAGATATTTCGAGCTTCTTATAAAATAGTCCTTGAAACTAAATATTATTAATCGATTCTTTTCAAGCAGTGATATTATGATTACATTGTGATAACACTCCACAGCTGCATGACATAACAATGTTGAAGCGGTCGCCCAGTGCACAGGTCAGTTATATGCCCACTTACCTGAGAATGAACGCGCTTCAATGTTTTGTTCGCAAACGTCAGCGATAGCAGATGTTGTGAATGCGTGTAGATTTCATCTTCTAGCAACAAGCCTCGATATCATTCCCTGTCGCCATTGGTCGTGACGTCAGCAAGTTGTGGACGTCATCTTCACACTGAAACCCTTGACATGTTGGTATTGTATCTTGATTGTCAATGCGTATGTTCATACACTGTATGTTGTCAGGTATTAAAGAGAAAATCATGGTCCTGTCGGTAAATTGTCTGTCTACATTTATGTGCATGATTTAATTGCAACAGAAACGATGTCCTGTGATTGTTGGGTTAATATTATTCGCACAAAAGTCGTAAAAAGCATTCGCTGTGCTTCGTTCATTGTATTGCAACCATCCCTATTTGCACGACTCGACTCATCTATTAAACTATGTTCCTTTGCCAGCAGACAATGACATGCGTGACACATTCCAGTCACTTCCCTTTACAGATAGTCGGAAAGCGTGAACAAACATACCAGCTTTGTCAAACAATTACGTTTTGGACATATACATTAGATTCAGAAGTGGAGAGTGTGCAAAAGTCACAGTGTACACGCACTGAAAAATGAAATTAAGCTGTAAAGATTGTAAGTTCTTTTCCAATACCTAAGTACAATAAAGTGCAATGAGCGTTATGAGTTAGCGTGCACACACTGGAGGGCCACTTTATCGCAGTTTCTTGCGAAAAACATAAACATATATGTTTTTTAATAATTTCAGTAGTATCAACATAATATAATATAATATAATATATAGACGTACACAGTAAAAGTCTAAAGGTGTCTTGTATACAACTTGTTGTGTCATGTGAATGCCCCTTTATTGTTAATACCACAACTATCTATTATGAAATTCTGAAACCTTTGCTCCTAGTTGCTTTTAATATAGATGCTTTTGGTTTTAGAAAGGACATGTACAGATATTGCAATATATATATATATATACACACATATATATTGCAATATATGTACATCTGTATAATATAAATTTATATATACACACATATATATTGCAATATATGTACATATGTATGATATAAATATATATATACATATATATATATATTGCAATATATGTACATCTGTATATATATATATAACAATACATGTACATCTGTATATATATATATATATATATATATATATATGTGTGTGTGTGTGTGTGTGTGTGTGTATACAATGTACTATTATTACAATGATAGTATCACAATAGTAGTTTTAACAATCATAATACTATGGCAGTCGTTATTGATGAAGTACACCACTGGTCACCCCTGTCTGTCTCACTAGGCAGGGAGCAGCATGCTAATGTTCACCCAGTGGGTCTTCATGTGCATACATCACGACATGGTGGCAACATGCATACGAGTCAAGTGTTCTCATATCAGCCAAGATACCGAGACAGGAGGGATCCGATACGACTTTAAGCCGTCTCTGCAGGGTGGAGAAATGTTCAAATTATTGTACCTTCAAATAGAACATGATAAAGACCGCCTGATGAAAGAAAGAAGCCCTAACATCTTACACACATCAATCGTGAGACTTCGTTATGGACTCGGAAGTTTAGAAGACATTTGTAGTGTTTTCGTTTCAGGGTTTATTTCATTCACAACGAGAAAACATTCCTTCGGATTGCTCACGATAGCTGATATTTCTTAACAATATGGAAAGGGTTTGTGGCTTTTATTTAGTTAGCCATTTTTAAGCTAAAGGGTATTTTCATTATTTCAGGTAGTATAATGAATGAATTTACCAAATGCGTTTTCAAACAACAGTGTTATTCTACGATCGCGAGATCATCCTCGCAAAACCCATATTCACATTTACTGTAACAATCTACTGTAACTATACAATGACTTAAACGATTAGTTTGACATCACTGTGAACATTTAACATCAGGTAAAAAACTATATTCTTAAATAATCCCACACCAACACTTACACCAACACCCACTTCACTTTGGTCAATACTAATACATGTAGAGCTTCATAATCATCGAGGACCGACTCCGTGGTCTAGTGTTAGATCGTCCGCCCGGAGAGGTGAAGGTCCGGGGTTCGATTCCCTGCCGCGTCATACCTAAAGACGTTAAAAATTGGTACTTGTTGTTACCCTGTTACCAGGCAAATTAAGGGGCTAAAACAAGGACTGGTCGGCTCGGAGTCAGTATACTGTGTCTGAGTAGGGTATTCATGTTAAACTGCGGTATGGCATCGCAATGAGCTAGGACTACACATCAGCATCAGTCCAGACTAGTACAAGCATCCACACACACACATGTGCATGTACTTCGTTATATAAGTGCAATAATCTTGGACGCGACGTTAAACCCATTTTCACCTTACCTCACCTCACAATCATCGACGTGTGTACACATATCTTCTTCTACATGCAGGGGGCACGGGTGGCCCAGTCGTCTAAGGCGCCGCGATTCGCCGTGCAGAGTTGCGTCCCTTGGGCACGCCAGAAACCTATGATTGTGGGTGCGAATCCCGGTTCGCCCTGATTATGTTTCTAGGTTTGTCAGCACCATACCCGTGCTCGTGGGTTTCACTGAAGTGGTAAACGTCTGAGACCTGCATCACTTCGGGCTTTCCTCCCACATTAAGCTGACACGCCGTGATATAACTGGAATACTGTTAAAAGCGGCGTTAAACCCAACTCACTCACTCACTCTTCTACATGCACATACATGTATTACCAATTTTCAACAAATCCATCAAAATCAATATCAAAATGAATCCATCAGCATCTATATAAACCTGTCTACAACATTTACATTTTATTTACCTTAAAATCAGGACTAAATGTACATCATGCATATCTGAACCAATATCAACACCTAAGCACTGAACCCATCCATTCAACATCTTACACCGATCCATAGTTTTAAGGCTTCAGGGCTACATGTGTCAAAACGCCTAAATATATGCCCACATCCAGGTCCGACTTTCACAGTGACCTCAACGCAAGGACTATTGAAATTCCTGTCCGTCAACAGAGACTCACATTAGATGGTATGTAAATAGGGCACGTCCCACAAGCGACACTTTAACACACGACGTACGCTGGTGGTAGCGTTATATGTAGCCAGGCTCAAAGTAGGGCAAAGTATATTTACACCAATAACAACCAACACATACTTCCTCCTCTGTCTCTCTATCACACAAGTGTAGTTCGCACGCACACAAACACACACAGGACCAATTTATCACAACTTGTTTGTCTTACGATTTGATTTATGACTACTTGACCAAATGTCTCTTTCATTGTGGTTACAATGTATCATGTGAGGACACACAGTATAATGTTATTTCTGAACCTTTTCGTGCTATTCAACTATGTATACACATACTGATACACGCTATTGTATGGAGAAGATCAACATTGTTGATAACATTGTCCTTCTTCTATTATGTTTGTTGTTTGTTTGTTTGTTGTTTAACGCCGCACTCAGCAATAGTCCAGTTATATGACGGCGGTCTGTAAATAATGGAGACTGGACCAGACAATCCAGTGATTGACATCATGAGCATCGATCCACGCAATTGGGATCGATGACATGCATCAACCATGTCAGCGAGCCTGACCACCCGATCCCGTTAGTCGCATCTTACGACAAGCATAGTCACCTTTTACGGTAAAGCATGGGTTGCTGAAGACCTATTCTATCCCGGAATCTTCACGGGTCCTACGCAATTGGGACACGATGACATGCATCAACCAAGTCAGTGAGCCTGACCACCCGATCCCGTTAGTCGCCTCTTACGACAAGCATAGTCGCCTTTTGCAGCAATCATGGGTTGCTGTAGACCTATTCTAACCCGGATCTTCATAGGTCGACTGGCTGTGACTAGTGTAGGAAGGCTCAAGTGGCTTATTTTGTGGTTCCCCACTTAGGCTTAGAGTGACTGTAAAATAACAAATGTCTATAGGACTAGTTGTTCACTTTCATTGGCCATGTTTAAACAGTATGGTGCTTATATCAAGCCTTACGCTTGTTCTCAATGCATATCTCAATGGATCGAGTGGTCATGCTTGGTGACGAGGTTGACACCCTGGCGTTATTTCATTGCTCTCATCAATGGATTGTCTGTTCCAAACTAGATTGTTTAGTTGCCACCTTTGTATAGCTGGATTATTGCTTGGTGCGGCATGTGGTAACTAACAAACATTTACTTGTCATAAAAATGTTGTGCACGACGAACTTATCCTTTCCCCAAACACATAGTGTAATCACTGATTGTTAGTGATCCATTCATAATATAATTTTCATCACAATTTTATCGTGGCCGTTTTCATTATCATTATAATCATATCCTATTTCTCGCAATCGCTTAACAAAGATCTGAGAACATCCCATTACTGGTAACGTCAAAACGACCTTTCATCCAACCAATCAGAGCGTCGCTTACCAGATCATGAAAGTGACAGTCGGAATGTGTTTTCTAATCATGCAGCCTCAAAATATTTAACTGTGGGTATTCCGAACGACAGTTACGGGTTTAATGATTATATCCATACAATCTAGACCTTCTATAAGCCATTCCAGAATGGTCTTTTTATCAGTTTAAAAATTTGTAATCGAGAATACGTCAAAATATGTTTCGAAGCGTAGTCGCCAGTTTGAAACTAGTGTCGTAAAGCTCGAGAAAGCTGCCTTCTGATTGGCTAATGTCGATTTCTTGTCAGTCATTTCATTGGTCGGTCAAAGTTCGCGAAAGGCCGTTTTGACGTGACCCGTAATGGGATGTTCTCAGATCTTTGTTTAGCGGTAGCAAAAACTAAGATCTGATTTTAATGAGATTGGGCTGTTTTGAATTTACATTAGTCATGTGTCATCCCAATAGAGAAATACAGCGTGGAATTGCCAGTTAGTTAACCCATGTATCTTCATTAATCAACCCCGCTACTTGCAGCTCACAAGTGCATTCCGAGAGTGAGTGAGTGAGTGAGTGAGTGAGTAGGGTTTAATAATTTAACGCCGCTTTTAGCAATATTCCAGCAATATCATGACGGTGGACACCAGAAATGGGCTTCACACATTCATTCAGAGAGAG